GTTGTAATGTTTAGCTTCCACTGAGATTTGTGGGTCAGAAAAGCTCAACTTGCCTGTATCCTGTAGCCAGATGCAGTAGGACTTTCTGGTATTCTTGGAATGCATTTCACATACTGGACACTAAATCACATTTTCTGGAATACTAAATGCTATGTTAGTGGGACTAGAAATGCACCTAGAATCTATTGATTTGCCACATTGATTCATTTTGTTTTCTGCTGCATCATTGCATGCATATTTCCTCTGCTGCAACGAAAACACAAAAGAAGACTGCAGTTCTCCAGGATGAAAGTGACAAGTGGCATCATGATCAATGATTACATCCGTGAAATGACCCATGAGGCGATGTGCTATGAACAGCCAAATGATCTAATTACAAGCTATGGTTCATCACCAGTAATCACAGCATATGGAGAGAATCACTCAGAGGCAGGCTGTCAGATTTTATCCTGCAGAGGGTTGCTTGTAGTTGTGGGAGGATGAAAGTTTGCACGGCCAGGAGGTAGATAACAATAACCAAAGGCCAAATGCATGATCCAATATTTTGATAAATATTGTATTGAACAGAGGTTACATCATACAAACATAAGCGACTTTCAAAGGATGCACAGAATTCAAAGATGCTTCATTTTCAGAGACAAGCAGTTGTAGCAGCTGACCTAAGCAATATGTGAAACCTTGACAAAAAAGTTGAATTATACATGAAGCAAGTGATTAGCTACATGGAAGGTGTTCCTCTGAAACATTTCCCCCCCATCAGTACTATGCTGAAGATCACTGGTGATGCAAATTCAAATCCAGCCCAGTCTTTTTTATCTTTCTTAAAATAGCAAAGGGCTCAGGGCTCTGATTAAAGAATCTTGGAGCCACCATCAGCTTTCTCAAATCACCAGACCTCGCTGACCTCATTAACTCTGAAGCCCATCAAAACACAAATGAGATTCAGCATTGATTTTGAGACAACCCATTAAACTGGTGAGATGACAAAGGCTGTACCGGTGAACAAAGGGAGTCTACTCAGTAGTTTCTTTGTGTACAGATGTAGCTTAAATAGCTTTCACTCAGTTTACCAGTTCCCACAAAACACTATTTGAAATGTAAGACTAATTCTTTTTATGTATGTCCCAAAAGGAGCTGCTTGGCCACGAAGAGCCGTACCATGAAGCTCCTGGCCCACAATCTTCTATTTTTTTTCTTTCTTTCTTTTTTGTGCTGATCTTAGTGCAAGTGGAGTTTTGGAACTGTACAGTTATTGAGTCAACTGAGCTTTGGGGACTTTTACACAGTATACGCCTCAGTACTTGTAATCTTACAAGGTCTTTCTTTTTGTGGCTGTGTTGCTGTGGTTCCTAAACGTTTCTACTTTGCAATAATACCACTTACAGCTGATCATCTGGGATTAGGGAAGGAAGGGAAGAAATTCCAGAAACAACAAGTCAACATCTGAATTCAAAGATTAAGAAATTTGGTCCGTTTATTATAGCTAAGATATTTTTGGCTTTTGACTCAATGTCAGGATATTCCAGAAAAATGTTGAGTATAGACAGTCGATTTAGAAAAATAGAACAATAGATGTTCTCCTCCCCCTTTTGAGGTGCCTATAGCTCAGGGGAATAAAGCTGGTTATCTACTAATTGAAAGGTTGGTGGTTCAGTTCCTGGCTGCTCCACTTGCCAAAGCTTTCTTGGACAAGATATTGAACCTCAAGTTGCTCTCTGATGTGTTCAGTGGGGTGTAAGATAAGATAAGATAACCTTTATTAGTCCCACACGTGGGAAATTTGTTTTGTCACAGCAGGAAGTGGACAGTGCAAAAGTTATGAGGCAAAAATTAGAATACAATAAGAATAAATACAGTACACAACTGTACAGAATAGAATAAAATAAAATACTATATACAGTAGAATAAAATAAAATAAATATACAATAAGATAAAAATAGAATACAAATACAAATACTATATACAACTGAGTAAAAATACAACGATGTGGATGTTAGTTAGAAAGCTCTTAGGCATTGGGTTGTGTGAATGTGCCAAGCTGTATAAAGCACAAGTGCTCCAGTAGAGTAGAAAAGCTCTATATAAGTCATTTATCATTGACTCATATTAAAAAGTGGACAGTATGGTGGGATGGCAGTAGAGTGAAATCCACATCTTTTTGAATGCAGCTGCGCATGTGAGCCTGGTCATGTTCTATTTCCAGAAGCACGTTGGTCACAAGGTGAGGCAGGCAACTGCTTGGGGCCTTACCCCCAAAGGATGGTAATGTGCAAAGTATCCAATGAGTAGGAGAGACCTGACCTCCCTTAGGGGCTTAGTTTACTTTGACGTTTAATATTTGTTAATTGACCTAACAGAGCAGGCAAGTGTGTTTAGCTCTGCTGGCCATGATGCGACTGAATCTAATGTGGGCATTGCTGGGAGTCAGAGATGAGTAACTGGTTTATTAGCATATCTAACAGGCTGAAATATAATAGAGGGTGGTGGTTACAGTATTAACACTTTTTTAACCAGTATACTTAGTCTTGAGCATTGTTGCTGAAGTAAAATGGTTTCTTCCATTCTTCCAGTCTTACCTGTCATTTTGTAGGACTTTTGGCGACAGTGCTGTCATGTTATTTATAATGAGCTCTAGTTAGAAGGCTCCCCCGTGAATTTTCACCACTGTCTGTTTCACTACTGTAGCTTAAACTGATGGGAATAATTATGAGGTATACACTAGAGGGAACGATTCTTAGTTGGCCTCATTCAGTATGATAATCTCACTTTATATAATTTGAAGTTCATTTAATATACTGGATGTAATCTCATTAAATATGATTTGAAGTTCACTTAATATGCTACATGTATCCTCTGTGGGAAAACTACTGTAGCTGCCTTTATTGTGTGCCTTAGTGAGTGAACTCTGTTTAACCCTGTGCCTTAAGAATTGCAAGCCTTATTTGTTGGCCCCAGCACAGTAGACAGGCCTCGGAGGAAGGCTGTCATACAGTCAGTGGGCAGAACACACTGGGAAGCATGCTGAACATATTGGGAGTTCCCAACCCTGATGGGAGCTGTTGTGTAGTTGCCATGCTGAATGCAACAGTAAGGCCGAGTTATGCCTGATTAGTACTCAAATATTGTGAGAGGACCGGTCTACTTATTCCATGGTGGAGGAATTTGGGATCATTTTTGATTTTTTCTAACAATTCATATCATAATAGTCTACAATTCATGTTTGCAGAAGGCTACCCAGATGTATTCTGAATGTCTTGATACAATTTAAAACACATATACTCTGTGTGGTATATATTTTTACGAGACATAAATAACTTAATTCAAAGTATTTAATAGACTAGTCGCTACCTGTCCCCTCAGTCATGGCCTCTTCATGCTTATCATTATCAGCAGTGTCAGATGGGTTTATCTGCTGCTCCAAAGCTACCACAAAATTCTATTATAGGGGAGTTATTCAATATCACATAGATCCTACTGGAACCTTTAAATTAAGTTTTTTTTTAACTTAAAATGGTAGGCCATCTGTGATTCATCTCGTACCTACTGGGCTGCGCAAAATAAACTAGGCTAATAACCTCAGTTATATGTATTGGTATTATATCAAACGTTGTACTAGCCTTGTAGCCTAAGCTGATAACACAAAATTTCATCCACATTTCCTCGTTCCCAGCTGCAACTGGGATCTGTCTTCTGGTAAACAGGTCGGTTCACATAGCATATTTGACAGCATCTTCCTCCAACGCCCCTATGAGAAATCGCTCAGATGATAGAATTCATCTGATTTACTATGATGCTGTTAGATGAATGGAGATAGTGGAAAAAATAAAGTAGTTGTCAGAACTAATTTTTCCCACTCATCCGTCTCAAAAGAGAGGTGAACATAAACCAGCCCATCAGCAATCAGCCCGACTGTCCTGATTAGTCAGCTGTCCCTACATATTGTGACTGATTAGGATTCACATATCGTCTGTGCTTGTGTACAATATATTTGTTGTGTTTTTTTTCTTTGTAACAAAGAAATCGGAGCCAGTGGCTCCTGTCTCCCTCTGCCTTTTGCTTGTCCTTCGTCTGTCTCTCACTCACTTTGCTTGCTTAAGGTTTGAGGTCCCGGGATCACTTTGTTGTCGCTTTACTGTTCCTTCTGCTTCTTTTCTTAGGTGACTCTGCTTTTATCAGGAGAAGCTCAATAAACTGCATTGCAACAAACTCTGCTTTTCTCCAAAAACCTGAATTTTTGTTTTAGTTGTTTTCCTTTTAAAAGACATCAAAAAAGCTGAATCCAAAACTGGGGAGACAAAGTTTATCGTTTAGGTTCCAGATTTTTGAATAAACAAAACTGTTGCATACCAAGAAGTCACATCAAGGCGACACATACGGTTTATAGTGGATTTACATGAAACCTGCTTATAGTCTCCCTCGGCCATATGCTGGCACACAGAGACGCTGAGAAATTCCTTTACAAATGCAGTGTCATCAGCAGACTTAACTGTAGTTGTCTGAGTGGGACCACTAAACAAAAAAAGGATTGATCACCTGCAGAAACTTATGCAGAATAACTCGCTGTGGGTACAATTAGGCATTGTGCTGAGACGGCGGGGAATATTTCAGCAGGTGTTTGTTTGAGCTAACTAATTGCTCATTAACAGTGAACGGACGGTTCAGCAGCTGTCGAAGCTCACACAGTAAGAAAGGCTGTTTGTTCCCCTGGATGACTTTCTCTCCCCACGGCACATATTACAGTTAAACCACGATGCAGCTGATTTTAACTGATGATGATATTTTTTACAATCTTACTATACAGTTTGTTAAAATCTTAAAATATTGCGATTCCCCAGATCCTCTGTCCTCTTTCTTTACCCTTTATTTTTGTCACTCTTTGTGATTAGATTTAATGTTTGAGCTTGTCCTTGCGAAGTCCCAGACAGGGTTTGCTTTTTCGGAGTCCTTCCATATGCATACCACACATTTATCCTTGTCTCTTCTTTTCTTGTGTTTATCAGGCATGGCTGACTGAGATCCACGAATACGCCCAACAAGATGTAGTGCTCATGCTGCTTGGAAACAAGGCAAGGCACTGAAATTCTTTCATAGCGGTAACAGTTTTTTACACATGCTTTGCAATACCGAACTTTTCTAGAGATTACCTGAGTGAGCTGCCAGCTCACATGTACAAAACCCATCTGACAGGGATATGATAGTGGCACAGATAATTGCCCTTTGGATACACAGTGAGTGGGCATGTGGAAATACTTTAAACACATGTGTTACATGTTTGAAAGGACAGCTTTGGGCAATAATCTGACCTGATTTGTGCTTAAAGGTACTCAATCTGACACTCACAGAAGTCCCATCATTTTTATACACACCCATTACTGTGGCACCTAATGTAAATTCTTCCACTATCAAGTTAGCACCTGACAATGAAACTGTTGGGTCTTGCTTTTGGTTTAAAGCCTTTAACAGGGCTTGGAAGTGAGGGACAATATAATGCACACTTGATTTTTGAACTGGATTTTGTCTTTTATGGGATTTGTTAATAGCGACAAATACCAAAACACACACAAAAAAGTTCTCTAATGTTGCATCTAAGAAAATTCAGAAAAAATAAGTATCGTTGTATTTCTAAGTATCAGTAATAATTTGCTGCTCCAACAGACGCATGCTTAGCATCAACTGATGTCTGTGCTTAAGCACAACTACTTGCTAAAGCTGTTTGAAGCTCAGTCAGTTGATTATTGGTGACATTTGCTTAAAAACCTGTTTTTTTTTTTTATGTATCCTTTATTTAGCCATGAGGGTCCAGTTGAAATACAACATCTCTTCTGCCAATGAGTCCTGAGTCATTCTGTGTGCGCACACATCTAATAACTGTCAATCAAATTTGCAAATATTAGCGAAACACATTTTCTGGAACTGTCATTCTTTCTAAGCAGAGAACAGATGTCTTTGGCTCAGAGCTCTGTCTACTTTCAGTCACCTAACGTGCCATAACAGCCTTTTAATAGCATCCCGAGACTTCTTAGCTGCCATCGGATCAGAACGAGGCTTATATATGGCAAAAAGCCTGCAATTGGTGAAAGCATATTTGGCGCTGATGCTGATGGTTGCTTGATGCTGGATTGTAACCTTGTTTTTCCTGTCTCATCAGGCTGATGCCACTCATGACAGGGTGGTGAAGAGAGAAGATGGTGAGAGACTTGCTAAGGTGAAGAACTAAGATGCATGGGGATTTGTTTAGCTGTGTCATAGTCTGAAGGTCCACACAATATAAACAGAAATTTTGCCCCAATCTTTTTCTAAACAGTGAAGACATTAATTTTTCTGTATATGTGCTTTTCCAAAGGGATTTATATGGCTGATTGGATTTTTATGGCAAGCATGAGGATTATAAATATTACAGAAATGTGTGATTATCTGGAGATCCGTTTGCATTCTCACTCTAGCTCTTTATCTGAGATTTCCTTCTGCTGTTAGGAAACGGAAGATAAGACTCGGATGTGTTTTCTCCCCCATAGATAATAAAAATGTGATAGTCAGTATTTACTCTGTAGAATTGTGTCTTATGGCTCATCGTGTTTTATGAGCTTCTGCATAACATGTATCGACTGTCAGTCATCCCCAGTTTTATAGCTCTTTCTTCAGTGCGACTGCAAATCCTTGCACTGCCTCAAAACCAAGTGCACTGAAAAAAAAGGTAAACTGCCAAGCAATTCTTTTTAGAAATGGCAGCAATAAAGTGCCAATAAGTAACTCGGGGCTCAGCCTGGAAGGAAAAAGACACATCAGTTATCATCTCTGTTTGCTGATACAAATTTGCCTGCAGAGGGAAAGCATGGAGATGGCACCGAGCTGGATTATCTACAAGTGAACAAGTGTGAAGCTGCTGGGCACTACATTTTTATGCAGTTTTTATCCACCAGTCACAATTTGTTCTTTCAAGCTTAATCCTGCTGTGTTAACTTTTTATACATACACTTATAGGCCATTTCATGAGGTTTCTTATTAACGCAAATATCTAATGCAACTCGGTACATTCAGGCATGTAGACATTGTCAAGACAAAGTTCAAACCGAGCATCAGACCGGGAGGTAACTTTGAGGCATGGTTGTTAGTGTGTTTTCAGAAACTGCTGATCTACTGGAATTTTACCACACAGCTCCCTCTCGAGTTTACAGAGAAAGGTGTGAAAAAGAGAAACTATCCAGTGAGCGCTATCTTGGTAAAAATGCCTTGTTTTTGTCAGAGGTCAGAGAAGAATGGCCAGACTGCTTGGAGCTGATAGGAAGGCAACAGTAACTGAAAAAAACACTTGTTAAAACCAAGGTGTGCGGAACAGAATCTCTGAGTGGACGGCATTGCGAAATTTGAAGTAGATGGGCTACACTTGGAATGGGAAACTGAGGCTACAAATTTTACAGGCTGACCAAAATTGGACAGCAGAAGATTGGAAAAAATATTTCCTGGTTTGAGTCTTGATTTCTGCTGCAACATTCATTTGGTAAAAACTAAATGGCTCCTACCTTCTATAACCATTCAGGCGTCTGTTGGTGTAGTAATGGTCCACGGGATATATTTCAGCACATTTTTAATTCATCCATCCATTTGCTTCCACTTATCCTTTTCAGGGTCGGTGGGGGGCACTGGAGCCTATCCCAGCTGTCTTAGGGCCAGAGGCAGGGTACACCCTGGACAGGTCGCCAGTTTGTCACAGGGCTAACACATAGACAGAGACAACCAATCACACTCACATCTAATTTAGTGCTTCCAATTAACCTAACCCCACTAACTGCATGTCTTTGGACTGTGGGAGGAAGCCAGAGCACCCAGGGAGAACCCATGCAAACTCCACCCTGGCCTGAACTCAGGACCTTCTTGCTGTGAGACAATAGTCCTAACCACCATGCCACCTGTTTTTAATCAAATCAAGCATTTTTTTTTTTTTAAACAGCACAACCTACCTGAGTGTTATTGCTAACCATATCCTGCCCATCTTCTGATGGCTCAGACTGGTTTTTGGAACATGACAATGATTTCACTGTGCTCAAATGGCTTCGAAAGTCACCAGATCTCAATCCAATAGAGCACCTTTGGGATACGGTGGAACAGATGTTTTGCATCAAATCACAAATCAAAATTTAGGAAATTCAGACCTTAGCAATGTTTCAATGCAGCACATGGCTGAATGTTTGCCATAAATGGCAAACAGATTAATGGACAGGTTTGCAGTTTATTATGACTGTAAACATCTTTCTCCAGTGTCTTGAGCTCCTCTGCTCAAAGCTGCTTCTTAAAAAATTAAGAAAGAAAAGATTATTTTTTTGAGGTTTTAGTACAAACATCACAGAGAGCACAAAAAAAGCACTTTGCATTAAGATTCATTGCTTTGGCTCTGCAGGAATTCGGAGTTCCCTTCATGGAGACCAGCGCCAGGTCAGGCCTCAATGTAGAGCTGGCTTTCACTGCTGTGGCCAAGTAAGTATATTTCTCTTTGCAAGTGTCAGGGATTATATAAAGGATGTATGAATATAAAATGTGGTTTTTAATTTAAAACATTTAGTATTTTCATATAAACATGGACGTCAATGTGGAGTCAAAAAGATTTGTTACTCGTGTAAATGCTTCCTTGAAGTTGCAAATGTTTCAATAAAGATCTGAAGTACAGATTTAAATAATAGTTTTCCCTTACTAGTGTTTATTTTTGTCTTTATTTGGCTAAAAGAATGGCAGAAAGTCAGGTGGTTACACAATATTAAATTTTTTGCCTACCTCTGACTTCTGCTTGTTCTCCCCTTTTCTGCACGGGCTTTCTCTCACAGTCCAGTTTTAGTATTTCAGTCTGAGCATTTTCTAATCTGTCCATAGGTATGAATGTGAATCTCCTGTGTTAGTTGACTGACAGCCAATTCAGTCAACTAACACAGGATTTTCAAAAATAGGTTAATGTGTGTAAAGGTCCTTTACCTCAATATCCTCTTCCTTTTCCTCAGGGAGCTGAAGCACAGGTCCATGAAGGATCCCAGTGAGAAGTTTAAGCTCCATGAGTACGTGAACAAGGAAATGAAGGGCACTGGCTGCTGCCGGTCTTAAAAGCCTGCCCCAGTCACTCTTTGGCTCTGTGTGTGTGTGTGTGTGTGTGTGTGTGCCACTTATTTCCATACTGTACATGTTCATATCTGGTGTGATCAGAAAGGCAGAAAGGAGGAGTCAGCTCCAGCGAGGTATAAACCCGTTCGACCTTCTGCTCGTCCATTTTCAGATGTCATTGTGTCAGTACACACAATCTCACTGTTGTCCTCACTAGTCTCGTTGCCTTCCTGCATCATGTGTATGTGCGTCTTGCTTTTCCCCACCCATCTCCTTCTGTAGCTGTAAATGTAGCCCAAGGTTATAATTGGCAAAAGGCAAAGATGGCACACCTCAGTTATTACCCTTTTTCAACTGCAGCTACACAATTATCTTCACCGTTGCCTGGTGTCCTTCTTTTATTTTGAAGGGTCTTTTTTGTTTTGTTTGTTGCAGAGATAAAATGCATGTTTTTAAAGCAGTTTAATTTCTGCATATAATTATTGTGTTAGATGCAACTGTCATTTTCTTCGGATGTTACGGATGAATGTTCAAATAGTAAATGTGTAGTGAAGTGTCCTCTGTACAGTTTGTGGTCAAATCAATGATTCAACAGGCTCCCTGGAGCCGGGTTAGCTCACCAGCATAAATTTAGTCTGTTTCAGCTGTGGATTTGGGGGTGGGGGGGATTTGTATTATTTTAACACAAAAATCTAGTAAAAGCAAATGGGTGTCGCTATTTTGGATACAATGAGCATTAACAGCATTCAGATATGAATCCATATTAATATAATGTTTAAACAAATTTAGACATTTGAGTTTTGAAGAGCTGTAATGCAACCACTGTTCCTGATCTGTATTTTTTGTTAAATTATTAAAAACAGATAGTCAAACACACTGTATGCAATATACAGGAATATAAAATTGGGCTTTTTTTGGTCATTATGGTGTAAATACTACTTTTTTTTTTCTGCATGTAAAATAGTTTGGATAGAAGAGAACAGCACTTTAGATAGGAATTAAGAGCATGGGAGTGAAGTGAGAAATAAAGAGCTATAGAGACCTGAAGTATTGTACATGAAACATCTGTAATTTTTTTTTTATTTCTCTGTTTGTTTCTTTTTTGTTTGTTTTTTGAAATCCATGCAAATCATGACAGTGTATTTAAATGCTGAGTTTTGAACCACCTCTCATTTCTTTATATTTTGCAGGGAAATAGCTGCAGTGATTTATCGAAACGTGCAAACATACATTGAAATACTGTATATAAGTCAAACACAGAGATCATAGAATTCTAACAAGCTGGAAGTCTCTTTAGATAATCATTGGGAATAGTTCTTTAGGGGTCTTGAAGGACATTTGAAGCTCTTCTTTGGATGTTGGATCCCTTTTGTTCTGTTTTTTGTCAAGATGATCCCTCACTGCTTCAGTAAAGTTGACCTCCAGTCTTGGCAGTGTGTTTGGGATCATTTCCATGCTAAAACTTGAAGCCAACACCCCTGACTTATATGCAGCATCAGACAATGACAGAGCCTCCACCATGTTTTACACTTGGCTGTAGATGCTCACTGTTATCTCTTGACCTCCTTAACACATATTAATCAATTTAACCAAAATTTTCAAATTTGCATTCATCACTTCAAACCTGATTTTCAGTCCATTTGTTAGATAATATGATATCACCACCCTGACCTTCAGATACTGTTCATCTGCTTCTTCTTCCACTTGTCCAGTTTCCCCAGTATTTTTTAAGGACATCTGCACACTATACTGAGATAAGCTAGGTTTTCAGCTATAGCCCTTGAGAAATCAACTCAATCTTGTTGATGCAAATATAATATTTTTATGCCCATCTTTGTTTATCTTTGGCATTTTTGGATTCAACTAAAGAAATGGGAACAATTGATGTGTTTTTGCAACAGTAACATCAAAGCTAAAGATACAATTTTTAAAAAAGCCTTTTGCCTTCATCCTTTGAGTTGCATTAGTTTGTGCCTTTTTAAATGCTTCAATAATTTAAATCATTTTTTCTATAGCAAAAAGCAACAAAATGCTATTTTGTGATGTCAGGTACAAGAATTGGACTGAAAATGGGTGAAAATGCAGCCAATCTCCAGAAAACAATAACAGAAAACCTGGAGAACTAATCCTCAAGACCACCTTAAAAACAAGAAAGTCTGGGTCTTTGGAAGTAGATTAAAAGGAAATGACCGATGACTCAAAACCTTTGCACAGTACTGCATGTATGTGTTTTCTGTACATTCGTATATAAATTGGGTATATAGTGCCATGTTTTCTTAACATTTTGAGCAGTATGTCACCTTTAATCGGTTAACAGTATTTAACTTATAATTAATATAAGAATCACAGATGACATTTTATATACTGTTGCTTAGAAAGACTCCATCTCAGTCACAGAAACCACATACTGTACTGCACTTACTGTACATGCCCATGTTTCTTTCTTTTAGCCTTGAAGTTAAGAGTATTGTTTATTTGGTTTACTACTTTTCAGTGTGTAACTTCTTTCTTGTAACTTAAAACTACAATAAAAAAAATATGTATACATCATATTTCTCTTACACAAATTCTCTTCTTGGACAGTTACACAATACAAAGCATGCAATTACAGATCACTGAGCGCAGCAGAGAGCATGTGCGTGTTCACGCTGATTGACGTCAGCTCTTCAGGTTTGAACAAATTGTGCGACAGTCCAATGACAGTAGTGCTCAAACCTTGTTGTGCCTTTTTCCTAGGGCTGCTTTCACAAATCACTTAAAGTGTAGACCAGCAATCACTGGTTTGATGAAGTTAAGCTGCTGGAGCCTTTTTTAGTCTAAAGCCTTTCCTATGTCTCCCTCTGCTGGATAATAACTCATGACATAAAGGAAATATTTAAATAGTTGTGTATATATAGAAGAAGCAGTAAGGCTAGGCAGTACTTAGTTGTTACATTGATTACATCTGTGCTAACAAAAAAAAAGCAAAAATTGTTTATTCTACCTGTGTGGCACATAGAAAATTAGACAGTTTAAAAAAAATAAATACATTCAGAATTACACATATTTTTACAGAAAGTCTAATATAAAATAATGTATGTATACCACCTTAATGATGTTAACATGCAGTTTGATGTCAGATAAATCTGTTTTGGTCTGCATATAATTGGTCAGAAGTTTGCAGTTCATACATCTGAAATGTAATCTTGTTACTGATGACAGAACACTACACTGAAATCTCGTGAGCAGCAGCCGTTCTAACTCCAAGTTTACAGACACACACACATCTGCACATTCAGTGTAAATGTCCTGTTTCAAGTATGAAAGTAAGTCAGACCACATAGCAGATGAGTTAGCTAACATTCATGGCTCCCCACGAAACGTGTCTGGCACATCATGTAGGTGAGGCTGACGAAGACGACAGGCAGAGACAAAAGGGTAACTGCTGGAATGCCAAATAATCAAAGCTGTGTCACCGTGAGGCTGTTTTCTATGTGAGCCTTCAGTTTTCGTAAGTGCTTCTATTACAAGATGTCAAGGTTTTTTTCTTCTTCCAGCGGCAGTTTCTATATTCCTCACCCTGCACCAAGTTCTTCGTCCTCATCACGGTTTGTGCTTAAAATATGCCTCCACTGTAGAAAAGGAGAAAGAAAATAGAGCCACATGAGTTAAGAAAATAGTGGCACGTTCTTCTATGTATTAAAAAACGATTTACAGTATTGTGCAAAAGTCTTGAGCCACTCCTTATTTCTTTATATTTTGCTTCCAAGGACCCGACTTTGTTTCATTCTTTCTAAAGATCTTCTTTTGACATCAGCTGCTTTTTCACTCACTTTAAGTCCAGGTCTTGTTCTTGACCTGAAGAATATCTTATGTTTTGTTTCGCTAAACCATTCAAGACTAACCTGTTACTCTTTCAAGCATTATAAGGCATTTAGGACATGAGCCGGTGCTGTCTCTGCACATAACAGACTAGAACCAATTTAAAATTTGTTACTTTCTTTTGTTGAATCTTAACAAATGCCAAAGATAACACAGTTTGACAGGTACAAAATAGTATTTATGTACTAATAAGGTGATTCCCAAAGAGCTTTGAGCTAAAAAGTGTACACAACAGTGTAAGTTTCTACAACCAAGCTCTGTCATGGTTTTCAGCCAGTTGTGTGTCAGATTTTGTCAAAATTGGTGGAAATATGAGCCTTGCATCAGATTGGCGATCTGTCCAGGGTGTACCCTAACTCTTGCCCTATACCTGCTCCAGTCCACCCACAACCCTAATAAGGATGAGCAGAAAAGGATGTTTGGATGGATGGACGATGGAATTATGAACACAGAAAAGTATCTGATTTTGATCCACTGTGCAATACTATCTAGAAATTGTCAGATTGGCAGCAGCTTCATTTTTCACTGCAAGTGCAGTAAAAGCATACCTTTGATAGAAAACACACAATGGGACAGTATCAGCCATGGATTGGCCTCCCCAGAGCCCGGAGGTCAACGTTACTGAATCAGTGTGAGATCATCTCAACAAAGAATGGAACAAAAGCCAGCCAACATCCAAAGAAGAGCTTTGAACATCCTTAAAGAAGCATTGAGAACAATTCCTGATAACTATTTACACAGCACTTTTTTGTATCTTTGCACATTTCCTAGCAAAATATTAAAAAATGAGGGGTGGCTCGAGACTTTTGCACAGCACTGTATGTGTTTTGTAATTTTTTTTTATTTTAACCTGCATACTCCTGAGGCAGCATTGGTCTGTTAATAACTGTAAGGAAAGCAGTGATCCATTCTTTCTGCTCCACTTCGGTCTCACATGCAAAGAGGAACTTCCTATCTGGGGTCACTATTGTTATTCCAAATGGCCAATGGTAACCCTGGATAGTGGAAGGGAGGTTGGGAAGCACAATGTAGCCATTTTCCTGACTACCGATGAAGACCTCACCACGTGCATAGGCATCCTACAAGCAGAGAGAGAAGCAGTTTTAATGTATGTAATGTAGTTTTATGTACCTGAATCAAACTTAAATTCAGAAGAGTTAATGGATATGGAAATTGCTTCATTAAAGTATAAAAACACACAAAACGTGTGAATAAAATCAAAGGCGCTGTGCTAAAGGCTACTTGCACAAATTCTGGGTCATGGTCTCTTAAAAACAAGAATTGACTGTAGAGAAACATCACAGCACCATCTGCTGGTCACAGTGTGTAATTAAAATTATTTTCATATGTTTTACTGGTGAAACTTTACTACCAGTGGATCCTTGAAATACAAGAGCCTCCTGTCATCCATCGTAAACCACCTCTTCTTGAAGCCCTCTGTGTGCTGCAGGACAGAAAACAAGACATCGAAGTCATCTTGACGGCATCACTGTGATTTTTTTATTTTATTTTTCTCCTGTGCTATATGATCGGCAATTTATCTACACAAAACAAAATCACCTTTGGACCAGTCTTCTCCATGTAGCCCTCTTTTAGGTAGTTTCTGGTTACCTTTGGCAGCAGCTGCACAAAGAAAAAGAAACATACTCAATCATTTCAGGAAAACGTTTGATTTGTTGTTCGTTTCTTTTTTAACTGTATATGTGCGCATGCTTATATTAAACTGACTACTGGTTTGCAGTTAAACCACATTGAGAAGTTGTTGTGATTTAGTGTTTTACATAAATAAAACTGAATTGAATTGAATTTGACATTTTAGAAATAAATACAGTTTACCGAGCTGTACTGAAGTTAAAAACACCTGCAAAAGGTTTAAATTAAACCTCTACATGAGCTTAAATCATGAGTACAGCAACCAGATTGAAGCACAAAAGATGCCATTATTGTGTGCAATATTACCTTCATAATGACAAGTTCAAAAGAAAAGGAAAAACTTGTCTTCAGCCACCTTAGTTGTAGCTGCATTCATGCAGGAGCCCATATATGAGAGCACTTACTCACCTCAGAGTTTAGAGCTAGAGGAAAAGCCACCTGCAGGTAGCGCAATCGAGCTGCTCTGATGCCATTGAACCAGTCCACTATTTCCTTAAGAGAAGGACATAAGGAAGTATAATGGCTAAGTTACACATTATCATGTCATTTAAACCATTGGTCCCATCCCCAATTAACTCCACTAACAAGGTAACTTCTTAAAAATGCTTTGTAAGAAAACCATCTGAAACTAAGCTATTGGCAAATATATTGGTCACTATTTTTAATTAAACAGATCCCTGTGATGCTCTTACTAAAGTAAATTTGTTACATGTTGAATTGTAATTGCCAACCTTTTCCTCTAGAGGGACACATTAACTTTCCCAAGCTCACGATTTCCCATCTGAAACACCAAACGGGGCATGTCAACTCACCTTTCCATCCTCGTGGTAAACAAAGACATTCCTAGTGCTGTTGTCCTTTAAGTAGGTTATCTGCAGACCATGGGCAGTGCCCATTTTGGATGGCTGGAAAGTGGCATTCAAAGTATTGATCTTCATAATCGCTTTAGGCTCTTTGGCCTGCAGAAAGTAAAGACTTTTTGTTAAACATTCTCGCCATTATCAAGGCTGTTTTTGCACATTATTAACCAATTGTAGACTAGGAGATAACCACATTTGCCAAAACACACAGGCTCCTTATTTATACAACTTCATATATTACAAAGAGAAAAATCAGGACATGTATGAAGTGATAGAGTGTAAGCAAAACAGACAGAACTCACGTCATGCTTGTTAAAGTATTTAAGCACACCCTCTCGCTCGGACAGAATAAATTTTCGGCTTAGGTATTGTCCATTGTCTCTGCCACGTTTCCACAGAAACCCTTCTCTGTAGCCTGCCAGGAGGAGAGAAACACAGGTTGGGGGTGAAAGCAAAACAACTTTTATTAATGCTGAAAATCTCAGACACACATCTAAGAAATGTCCACAAATAAACAAAGTGTTATTAACTTGATAATCAGATAGATAAATGTGCACTGGGTGATTTAGAGCAAGAAGAAAACTGTCACTTTTAAGGCTGATCCATTTACATTATAAAACAATGATAGCCTCTCTGCATATACTGTAGCATTGGCATTTGTTTTGGACCTTTGTTTCTGACCCTGTTCAGTGTTCAGTTCCCATCGCTTATGTTCATGCTATGTTTCAAATAAAATCTAAAATTATATGGTTTAATTTGCTTTGCCAGGTTAACTCCTACTATTTTGATATATTTAGACAGAAATTGTTCTGAAGAGTTGCAGCAATTGCACAATACACAAAGCTTTTATATCCACTTGCCATTAAAAAAAAAGAAAAATTGACTCATGCCGCCTTACACTCATGGCTGACACTTTAATTCCAGAAAGCAAGTACGGAAATCCCTAAACCCACATTGTCTTGCTAAATAGGTTTAAACTAATCCAAATGCTAAAGAAAACATAAGTTATATTATTGCACAACCACGTCTTGTGGTTACTCATCCGGTGAATTAAACGCCTATTACACAATCGCTTGAAGAGCTAACCAGTAACAACATTGGTGGAGGCCACTGAAAGACATACTGATGACCTTGTGCTTGTGTGTGTACCCTTTTAGTATTTGTGACCACTGTTCTAAGAACCTCAGTAATGGCTTTTACTATACATAAATAATTAAGCTTCTACTGATCTACAAGCCTGAAAATGACTGAAACAAATATGCTAGCACACACACTAAGCACGTTTGTTTCATAGCTGTAACTGAACAATCGGGAGCAGTGAATGACTCCACTTATTTTTAGTCATACCTAAATAATCATGTCAATCATTCACCTATTTTCTCCTCCCCACAAACACATAGACACACACACAGTAGTAGATGGTCCTATTCTTGACCATGGCCACACACAAAACCGTAATAACATTATTCTCATACAGACAATTAAAACTGAAACACTAAGGAAATATAAAATGCACCCAAATAACAGAGAGCTAGATCCTGATGCTGAAGTTGATACGAAATCAAAAAACACTTGGGTATTGTTCCTCAGCTGTTACTCTACCAACACTGTGATGCTACAACGCAATCGCCATAGTCACACGTGAACTACAAAGTTTCCCCATTTTTACATGTAGCACTCAAAAGGCTAATTAGGCAGCCAAGTGTTTAAGGGTGCATACTACGTGAGCAAATGGTCTTAATCAAAATTAAATGGAAATCTGACTGGATATGAATAGCTGCATGTGTTCCTAGTAATATATTACATTGATTCGTCAGAAACAACGAAAACTACTTCCCCCGCAAGAAACTGTACCAAAAAAAAAAAAAAAAAAAAAAGAAGCACCTCAGTTAATTGCTGCTGCTGCATGAGGTTAAATACATTGCTATAGAGGCCAGAGGCTTCAAAATAAGAGGAGGATGTGCCAGAAATTTATACAGTAAATTACAGTACCTAGAATTATGGTACACCTGCATCTTTCTTCACTTTCCTACTTAAATATGCATTTTGAGTCACATTTGCAAACACTTGGAAGAGCAAAGGGAGTTTCGGATGGCAGTGTCCGTCTCTCTCCAGATCCTGCACAGATGAATACTGCATGTTTTGGCATAAAATCTATGTGCGCTGTTGTATACAATGCTCATGCACAAAAGAGGGCATTCTTCCTCCACGGCAGGCACGCATATTCACATGCTCTAAACCTCTGCACAGCACAACACAAGGGAGCATTGACAGAGAGACAAAGTTTGACTGTCATGAGACTATGATAACAGGGCTTTATATTCTCTACCTGCAACTGAGAAGACTTTTAGTTTCTGCATGCAAACATCCATATGTGTGCCAGGATCTTAGCCCAGACTCAAATCTGCGGTCTACATTTTAAATATGTTCAGCTGACCTGACTAACACGAGACCAGAGCAATTAGTTACAAACCTTCCTGCTTGCCTTGCACATCTACTCTGCAGCACTAACAATACAACGCACAATACACTTCAGATTGTATATTGGCACACAACAAAAGCAAATCTTAAGCTTTATGCTAATTTTTAAATGCACGAGGTTCCTCAGAGACACCCAGTGACAACCTCATACGACTTAGTTAAAAGGGAACTGTGTTGATTTTACCCATCACATTCTGCTTCCTCATCATGTGGACTACAGCATGTGAACCTACCATCTGTGATGCTGCCCTACTACAAATTCTAAGACACAATCGCACACACACACCTTCTGAAGGTGTGGTTTTGAGTAACAAAGTATTGTATTATATAATGTACAATTTTTTTTTAAACTGCTTTCTGTCGGGTTGAACAAAATTTAACTTGCCTTGTTTCCTGTTTTCCAAACAGACGTTACCAGGGGAAGCAGTCTTTCAAGCTTGATAGTATGTATGGTTTGTGACCATCATTTCTTATCTGGGTAACATATACACACGTCTGACAGCTTCCCATTTCCTCAGACTTTGCTCAACTCTGAGTAGTTGCTAAAGAGAAGAGTGGATTTCTCAGAACTTAGCAGCATTGTAACATTGTGGGGTAGGCCTATCCTTTATGTGTGGCTCTTTTAAATAAGATCCTATGAATAGGTATGAACACACAACACAAGATCCCCATTGCCCTGAAAAACAAGACAGCCTGCTCTGGAAAAAAAGGTCTAATCACAATAAAAATACTTCAAATTACTCCGTTCTACTAAATCATTTATCTCAAAGAGTGCCGGGTTAACTATTCACACATTAACCTCAACTTTTTGCCCATTTTCAGCACTTATATTCTGTATCTAAACATTTCATACAGTGTCCAAAAAAGTTGTAAATATTAAAATAAATAATAATTTATTGTCATTAATACAACTACGCCTATCTTTTTGGCACCGAGTTTGGTGAAAACCATACATGCACTGTGTATAAAGGTCTTAAAACAATATATAAATAAATAGTTACCAACAGTTCAGACATTGGTTAGAAAGAATAAAGATGTATAAAGATAACAATCGAATAACTGGAGTTTTGTTTTTATATAAATAAAGTTTCTCCTGTCATCGGTGTTAAATATATCATCTGCTTTAAATATCTTAAAGTGCATTTTATTGCTTTTAGCATGGATTCAATTCAAATACATTTTCTGTTTGCTATTTTATTTAGGTTTTGTGAATCGACTGCATACTGCCCTTGCGACTGTAGAAAAAAAGCAATTTTTATGCCATGATTTAAACAGCATAGGGATTTTCTGCTACACACCCAGCGATGCAATGCACCTCATTTTACAATCATGGCCATTGTGCAACTCAACAGACGATACTGACGATATGAAATGAGAACTCTAAATGTAACGTCCACTAATGAGGGTGTGTCCATATTATTCAGAGAAGTGAATAAGAGAAGATTGTTTTGGAAACGCTACATAATCTTCGCATCATAATCTTAGCTGTGTCATACATTCGTGCATGCGAAAATCACAATAGTCATAACAGGCAGACTCATAGTAGTCCAGTCTTGGCATTTGCACACTCATTGCCAGTCAGTGGCAGAGGCGTCCGTTATTGATTAACTGAGTCTGGTTTCCACTGGTGCTTCTTTGTCTCTTATGAGACTGCATTGGGCAATTAGCCAGACGTCCATTATGAAAGGGACATGATTCAGCACAAAAGGCATGGATAAGCGTTCACACATTAAGTTTGAGTTTAGATAAACTAAAATGAGAAAAGGGTGTTTTGGTAATTAGTGAGAAACGAGAATAAAAAGGATCTGTAGGGCAGAAAAAGACCGTTTTCTTCACTTGATGACATACCCTCATTGTCTCTGCAACATAAGCCATGCTGACACACCATCTATCTCTAAACAGCTGACTAATTGGGCTGGGCTATGTAAATGAGCACTGGGTGATGGTGCCTGGTGGACCATGACTATTTATTTCCTATTACACCCTTTGATGCCATTACCAAGTCACATAGTACCTCCTGCAACAACAGCACCTGCCAACATCTCACCAATTAAGCTGATATATCTCATTTCTGTTTTTATGCCCTTCAATTATTTTCTTTATTCCCAAAATCCTGAATTATTACTTGAAGTGGAGGTGGTAAAGTGGCGTGCTTTCTGTCCTCGATCCTTGTTTGGGTTAATAGATGACGCTTTCTCGCTGATTCAATCAACACTGAATGGGTGGTGCAGCGTAAGACGCAGAAATACATCTTCTTTTGGTCATGTAAAAGGGTATAACTATATGCATATAACTGTGCACAGGTATGTTGTATTCTTACCTGCCGAGTAGGGTTCCTGCTTTTCCACGCACAAAAACTCCTTCCTCTCGTACTTGGCTCGGATCCACTGATCCCGCAGGACCCTGCAGAACGGAGGCTGTTAGACACTCAGCTCTGCCTGGGTTTGATGTTTACTTCATGCCTCAGCTAATTTGTTGTAAACATCTCATTAACTTGCGCAGATGCCGACCCTCGTGGATTCATTTTGTGCAAACATCTATCAAATACAACCTCATCATCTTGTAATTATCATTTGTGTCTCCCTTGTCCTGTTTCAAACATAATAACGATTAGATGGTGTGTGATGTTCTTTAGCGTCATATTCTTCTCCTTTTTTCCATTTTCTGTATTTTTTGGTTCCCTTAATAATAATAATCATAATAATTGCACTTGTATGCATCTTCTCAGTATGTTCAAACTGCTGCGGTATTACTGTGTGTGCAGCTCTTCACTGTAGTAAATGGATCTGCCTTTTTCATCCCTATTTTCTTCACTCATCAGTCACCCCTCCAAAACACAACACATGCCCGTTTAGACTTTCTGACATGACAGGTCACTGTGGTGCTGTTCAAAATTGTTATTTATATCGCTGAACAGTTAAGAAGAAACCCTCGTGCTGAATTGCTGCTTCCTGTTCATACTACAGGAACTGGGCATTCTTATCAATGTCATCCTGCCAAACCAAAACCACTTGTTAATGAAGACATCCATTTTCCCAACAGCTGCAGGCTTAAAGGCACCATTGCTAATATTTACTGCATAAAATAACAATTAATTTAGAGCATATATAGAGAGAAATTTACTAGTTTTAATAGTTTTCAATACTTATTACTAAAAACAAAAACAGTTTCTGTCATATCCCACTGCTTTGTGCTTATCCATGTTGCAGTCATAATAAGAAAATGGAAACCTTCTTTCAATTTAAAAGGTTTTACATATCAAGACATAATAAAAAATAATCTGGTCCTTAGCCTGTGTTAAAATGATCATCATCACCCCTTTGTCACTGTGCTCGACTGTTGGTTTGGTGTGTTTGTGCTGAGGTGCTGCGTTTATTTTTTTTACCAAACATAGTTCTTGGCATTATGGCCAGACTTTTGACTTTTGGTTTCATCTGTCCAAAAGGCATTGTTCAGGAAGATTTCTGGTATGCTCAGATGCAACTTTGCAAACATAAGCCATGAAGGCGGCATCAAGGCGACCCTTCTAAAGTGCCATATTTCTTTTGTTTTTCTAATTTTCTACTGTCATGTACTTTAACATTTAACATGGTTGGCAAGAGGTCTTACAATGTTTTCCACTTGTGAAGAATCTTTCTCACTCTAGGAAGATGGACTTGAAATTGTTGGAAAATGACCTCATAACCCTTTCCAGACTAGTGGGCAGCAACAATTGCTTCTATAACATCACTGCAAATGCCTTTCATCTTGGGCATTGTGTCAGTGCGTATCTGAATGATCCAGAACAACAAGCTGCCAAAACTTCTTTGTTTGAGGTGCTCACACTTACTGATGATCAATCAATCAAGTTCATTTGATTAGTAGAACCTGTGTGCTACCTTCCCTCTCAATCCCTAAGGTTATACTTTCACACGGCTTCTGCAATTTGGCTTAATCTTTGTTAAATATACAATGGCACAGTGCAGTATGTTGTGTATTGTAGCTTGTCTGAGGTTGTATTTACCAACTTTCAAGATTTGCTGAGGAACATAATATTTTTTATTATGTACTAATGTGTAAAACCTTCGAAGTGAAAGAGGGTGTACTTTCTTTACATTTTGACTGCGTATTTAGAGGTGACTCAAACATAAAGTGGAACAAAAGAGGATGGATTACTTACGTGCAATCCTTGAAGGTGGGGCAGTAGTAAAAGGCAGGAACTAGCTGTTCATATATGGCTTTGGCAGCATTGTTACCAACAGAGTCCATAAACTGTGGAGGAGGGGAAAAAACATTCACTCTATAAGGAATATCTGTTTGTGTTCACAGCTTTCTGTAGATATTCAAAATGCTGTGTTTGGAGCTCAGTGTTAGTTTGGCTGACTCTTTGCCCAAAGTTTGACTGCTGCACTTTTGTGTCTTCGTATTTAAAATTGAGGATGCTGCTCAGCACGCAGAGAAGTATACACAGACACGCCTTTGCATAAGTACACAAAGAAGCTGGTTGTGTCCGTCAGCTGCTGGCCCATTTCTTTTAGTCCAAGCTTAATTCATATAGATGACCTTTATTATTTTTTCAAGCAGAGATGCAGGGGGAAGTGTGGGAGACAGAAAGATAGCTGCTCATAGATGCTTGAGAGAGATGGGTGCAGATGTGATTTCAAGCCTGATTGCTGATCCCCACTTACTAGAGGATCTCCTACTGGGTTTCTCACCTCCAACTCAGAAGGGGTCCAGGGATCCAGAATAAGAGATTTGACCTTGCTGATCTGAGCAATGTTTCGATGGAGGCCTGAGCAGCTGTGACACACAAACACGCCAAGGGTGTACGATGCCCACTCTGGGCCTGTAATGCAGGATAAAGAGGTATATGACCACACACACACAAAATATTTTACCTTACGTAACTGCCACACTGAAAAATTCCTGACAGACACTAATGGTTCCAAATAGTAACTGGGAAAAGTGGTTATCACAGGCAAATAGAACAACCATTGCTGTAGTTGATTAAGATTTCAAATAAACACAAATATGTTACAAATGTCGCCTGAGAAAGAACAGAAATCAGCACAGGCAGAAGCATAACAAGATTAAGACAAGCCAACGATAAAAGCTTGGTTGTTTCTCGGTCATTCTGCCTCTTCGTCTTTAACATAAGCAGATGATCAGCGCACAGCATAAATAGATTTCCACATATGCTCACTATAGTATACACAGGAAGTTACTAGTGCGCAATAAGCTTGTTTCTAGGACCTAAATTTAGGCAGCCTAAATCTTCAGTATTTATATCAAGACCCCGTGTTTTTAATAAGCGTCTGTATGCAGGAATAGATACATAAATACACATCACATTCACCTTTAACATGAATGCTTAAGCAAAGGTTTAAAAGTTGAAAAGCAGGGAAAGAAAAAACTTCAGAGTTTTATGTATACCACACACTCTTCTTTTTTTTTTTAACTCATGCAGTATGACAAGCTGCACTAAATGTTTTTAAATTTAGTACAGAGAACAAACGCTGAGCAGGGTTATAATACAGTGAAGGTGTGAGGAGATGCAGATATATTTCGAAGTTTAATTTTTAGCGTCATTGCACTGACCAGCGTGAGGCTATATTATACCTGCCATTGTGGTTATTTTGTAACTGAACCGCAGAACTGGGGCAACAAGATTGGTGTCAGCATTCAGCAGCCTTTAAACCGTCTCTGAGGAAGGCAAAGCCGCACACATGCAAGAGAGCATGAGAACAAAGAGCTCGATTACTTCCTCGAGCATAATTTAAAAACTGTGCACATGCGAAACCGTGTATCTGTAACACTGAGACAAGATGCTGCCGCGTGGTTAGCAAGTCCCACGCCGACTCACCCTCTCGGTCTAACACTGAAGTCATTCTACACAGAAAGTGTAATGCACGCAGAGCCTAAAAATGTATGAGTGTGTTCAAAACTTAGAGCTGAAAGAAAGGACTCCAAGAGAACTGCAGCCGTGTTTATTACTGGTATTTTAATATGATGCTCTCATGTGCTTGTCGCCTTCCACACAAGAGAATCTTGAAGGCTGCAGAGTAGATAAGTGAAAGTAAATTTCACAAGCAACACCTTTTTGAAAATGCATGCATGCTCTCATATACTGAGCTGCAGATTTGATTAATGTTAAACAACTAGGTGTGTTCCTCAGGGTGTGTGACCACATGTCTGCAAGCTGAAGAAGAAAACCAACCACGTACATAAACACCCATTTGGCTACTTAGCATGAACAGTAAAAATAATAATAATAAAAAAAATTTTTTTACTGAAACTACTGAAAACCTCCGACTGACAGTATTGGTTGTTGTTGTTGTTGTTGTTTTTTATCAGAACTCACAAACGTATTGCATCAGTGTGAAAATCTTCATTGTGTCAACTATCGCACAGGTGTCATAACTGCCCGAGAAGAGAAACTAAAGCAGTTACGTTCGTGTGTCTCAGTTGGGATTGCCACAGAATGTATGAACACTCTTAAAACTGGATGTCCAGCATCTGAGAGTGACTCCACTCCTCCAGCCTACCTGCAGCTCCACAGTCGGCACAGTTCCCATTCCCAGGTTTGTCCAGAAGCGCTTTCACACGCTGTCTGATCATTTCGTGATCGGAGGTCATTTAAGTTTAACCTATTTTGCTCCGACGCCTGATCAACCCCTAAAATCCTCCAGCAGTCTTGCATAGAAAGTAGCCCAGATACTGTGGCCGGACGAACTGAAGTAAATTCGCAGGGCGTCAGAGCGCGCTTGGCCAAACAGGAGCGGTGTCGAATTTAGGTGGTGCCTCGATGAGAAGAAGAAGAAAAATGAAGCACGTTCAGCGTTGTGTAGATGCTTTAACACTGAAACAGCAAATGCAAACACAACTCTTCTTTGTTTATTTGGAGGGAGACCTCCAGTGGTCATAATGGAGACTTACGCAGAGTGGAACCACCCATATTTGACCTCTTCCTCGCTATTTCACTTCACTACAAAATGTAGTCTGCCAGATCAGTCATTCAAATCTACTAACAAACTCGGCAGGACCGGTCACACAGAAAAGAACAATTTAGATCAAGGTTTGATTAATTTAAATATGCTAGGGACAAACTGATTTTAATGTGTATAATAACTGCATTTCTTTTAGATCTGTTCCATTAGACTGTACAGAGGTACATTGTAAGCTGACTCACTGGCACAGTTTACTGGACATCCTCATTAATAAAATTCGTTTCACCGCACCATTTCCTGTTAAAGAAGATTAAGACTGCATGAAATTTACTATAATCGTGATAGAAAATTTCATGGGAAAAGGGAAATATGTGAAGAAGGAGCCTATTCTTTACAAACCCATCCAACTATACCAGGAATTATATGCTGAAAGGAGGTAATAAAGGAAGTAATGAGGAAAGTTTCCTCAGTATTTAGAAATTTTGACTTTACAATGTTGTCACATAGATGCTTCTGGGTGATGTCACTCAGGCAGGAACCTCCTAAGCAAAAATGATTATTCCACCACACCCTGAATGTCAGCAAAGGCCTCTTTTTCCTTGTCCCTTTCTCTTTTCCTGTGGCTGTAAGGCCTGTGCTCTTAAAACAGGAACCATTAGGAAATGATCAATAACAGTATGGCACAAGGCCTTTCACATTGTTAAAGTTTTATTTTTCAAAATGTCTAAAAATTCAAGACAAGGTAAAAAGAAGACACGCTCGAAGACTGGTCGATCTGTATGCAGAGCAAGCTCAACCTAAAAAGACACATACTGGTCTAGCTTTCCAAAATAAACTTATACAAAACATGGAAAAAAAATGTTGCACAAAGAGCACTATTAAAGAAATGTCCATGTTGGCTACAATGCAGATGAGTGAATTCTGTTGAGCCCACATGAATACTGAGGAATCAAGAAACGAAGCCGATTCGGCACCATGAGAGATCGCGTACAGTACGAAAACCCGTCTATCGAGAGGAGTTGGAGCTGGAACGAGAGCGGTGACGCCTACGACCGGGAGATCTGGAGCGAGAGCGGCGGCGTGCTGGCGATCGCCTCCTTGGGGAGCGGGACCTGCAAAAACGTAAATCAATAAGTAAGTGTGGAAGGGCATGTAGGCCTGATAAAAAACACAAATGTCAAACACGAATGGAAACAGTAACTGGTCGAATCATTCATAGTACCTTCTCCTCATGCGCGGTGGGCTGCGACGCCACATAGGTGGTGGCGGGGGCATTCTGCGGGGTGGAGATGGTCTACGGGGTGGAGGGCGGACTCGCTGAGGCAGCACAGCACAAGCAGTGATTTCCTGTCCATCAATCTGACCTATTCGTAAGAGTCAACAAAGAGTTACCCAACACGAACGCAAGTCTGTCTAGATTAATCTTCCATGACGAAGCCACAGAACTACCCACATACCTCCGTCCATGTGTTTGAGTGCCTTCTGGGCCTCCTCGGGGGTCTCAAACTCCACATAAGCACAGCCCCTGTGCAGGTGCGGGTGGAGTCTGTCCATTGGCATGTCGACTCCTTTGATTGTCCCATAAGTAGAAAAGATTTCCTGGATATGTTCCTGTTAAACAAAGACATAGCTGTTAACATAAAAACCTTTGTGTTCTAAAAATATAAAATTTAAATTAAAATAATTACATTATGTAGGGAAAGTTTTTATTTTCAATTCCATTTTTGTAATATATCTATATTATGGCTAAAGCAGTTTCTGGATGGATGCAAACTGCATTTTGTTGCCTTGTACTTGTGACATGTGCAATGACAATAAAGTAGAATTCTATTCTATTCTTATTTACATAGCACTAAATTACAACAACAGTTGCCTTAAGGTGCTTTATACTGCAAGGTAAAGACTTTATAAAAATATAGAGAAATAGGATTACCACCTATGAGCAAGCACTTTGGTGACAGCGGGAAAGAAAAACTCCCTTTAAACAGGAAGAAACCTATGGCAGAACTAAGCTCAGGGAAAGACAGACATCTGCCAAAACCAGTTGTGGGTGAGGGGAGGAAGACAGTACAAGAACATGCTGTGGAGGAGAGCAGTTATTTAATAAAAACTAATTACTAAATGTAGAGTTATGTATAAATATCAGGTGGGGAAAAAAGCCAGTGAAGAAGAAACCCAGAGAAGCCTAGGGAAAATAAGAACTAAACCTTATTAGAGAAAAAAGCCGAAATGGGCAGTAAAACATGAGATGCTTTTACCCGGAACAATCTGACAGCTGTAACAGTCACACTTAGTGTTCTGATTTTTACATCAGGAATTTTGTCACTAATAAGCGATGCCCCAAAACACCCAAATTTCACTTTTAGGCAACTATCTGTCAGTTAAGCTAAAGTACTGTACTGGTGTGCAGCTGGTATTACAGAGGAATGTAGAAAAATCAGTGACAACATGTTGCCACAGCTTTAAAGCCCAACCAATGTATGATTTGTCAGATCAGTACTGATATTTGGCGATTTAAAATCCTTACTAAGAAAAGTGCAGTCACAAATGTGTTTTACTGTTACAAGTTGTCGCCTGTTTACACTAATGGACTCTAGATCGCCTGGTTAATGTGTTGCAAATAGGAAAGTTGCAGTGTGCCCTCTGGTGGACAAACTATTTAATCCCAACAGTAATAACATGCTTGAAGGACGTTTCCTGTGTCTCCATTTATGTCAAACACCAACACAATATATCAGTATATTTATACTGATATCAATATACCCCCTCTTTAAATGAATATACAGAAGGTCGTCTAATTATTGGGGTTTTCTATCTATTATTGTTAGGCCTTATAATATAAAGTAACTTGAGCCGACTGTAGTTGTAATTTGGTGCTAAATAAATTTAATTTAATGTAATTTCAACCCTTAGCTGCATAGTGTGTTATCGCCTGTTTTCCCCTCCAGTGTGAGTGGTCCTCAGGTCTCCCTTTTGCTATAAAAACCAACCTTGGTGACATTCCTGGTGAGTCTCCCCAAGTAAACTTTAGTTGGTTTAGGTGTTGGGCTTCTTTTCCGGCGTTCCTTGTCATCTCTGGTCTTTTGTGTTTTAGAGCTGGAAAATCACAAGCAAAACACTAAATAACCAAGACTCAAACAAGAGAACATACAACACATCATTGTGCACAATTACCAAGCAGTTGCATTGGATGAAGAGACTTACACAGAGCGGGAGCGGCGACGGTTATCGTGGCGTCTGCGGCTGGGGCTCGGAGAACCCGAGGAGCTGGAAGACGAAGAGGATCGGGAGCTAGAAGAGCCGGAGCGGCTGGAACCAGACGAGCTGGATCCGCTTGAAGAACCTGAGCTGGAACCAGAACTGCTGCTCGAAGAAGAGCTAGATCTGGTGACAATCAATAAAAAAGAGAAATATATGACGAAAGAGGACAGATTTTTATTTTCAACACTGGGATAAAGGATCCCATTAAGAGGGCAAACCTGCTGCTGCTGCTGCCAGTGGATGCGCTGCGGCGTTTCCTTGCTTTCTCTCGTCCTCTCTCCTTCTCTCCTTCCTTTGTTCCAGGCTTTTCTTTGCCTCTGTCTTTTGTTTTTTCATCCTCCTTCCGCTTTGTAGGTGAGGGTGCCCTTAGATGAGAGGAAAGCCACTGTTATTTTGATATGTTTACGTTAAGAATAGCACAAAGTTTGCTACTTTAAGATTATTTTCACTGCAAATAAATATATTTTTACTAAATGCTTAATTGAAAAGTTGACAGAAAATAGAGCTCAACATATTTCACGGTTCTAAAGATAAAAGCTTTTTAAAACACAAAGATTTTTGTTAACAGCTATGTCTTTGTTTAACAGGAACATATCCGGGAAATAAATTGTATTTTAGGTCATATGTTTTCTGTTAGGTAGTTACTGTTTCAGAACAAAATAACAATTAACTGTACTGAGGAAATAATACAAGTTTTTCTAAACTTACAATACTTGAACAATTCGTAACGAGAAGCAGCCTCAAATCTCTTGATCTACAATTAGAACATCCTTTTGACATGTTTAAATTTGTATTAATTCGCCCATTTTCTCTACAAGCTTTAATTTTTGCCTCCAACTGCTGGAGCCCATACCAGCTGTTACAGGCCAAAAGGCAGGGTACACCTAGAAAGCCTATCACAGGGCAGAGACAGACACCGATTCATACATTCACATCTATGGCCGATTAAGAAACATCGGCCATGTATGCAAGAAAATGCCTTCCTGTGTTTTTTGGTTGTGGGAGGAACCCACTCAGACATGGGGAGAGAACATGCTAACTTCACACAGCAAGGCCCCAGCCAGCGCATTCAATGGCAGGACTTTAAATGGTAAAATCTTAAATGGCCTGCATTTGTATAGCGCTTTACTCAGTCACTAAGGACCCCAAAGCGCTTTACACTACATTCAGTCATTCACACACACATTCACACACTGGTGATGGCAAGCTACATTGTAGCCACAGCTGCCCTGGGGCGCACTGACAGAGGCGAGGCTGCCGGACACTGGCGCCACCGGGCCCTCTGACCACCACTAGTAGGCAAACTCAAACATGGGGCTAGTATCTTGCCCAAGGATATTTGGCATGCAGCCAGGAGGAAGCCTGGGATCGAACCACCTTCTGACCTGCTCTGCCACCTGAGCTACAGCCACCCTTTATTTATTGCTTTGAAGTAACAGTGCTAACCACTGCACCTCTGTGCGGCCACTTCTGTGTCCATTTAGTTTTCATTAACAAGTATGGAATTTAATTCTCCCTATACATCTAAGTACTAAGCGGTCTGATATTGGAACCTTTAAATGCTTGGTGTCTATGGATGTCTTCTTTTCTTGAATGTTTTCAGGTTAATGCAGGTTAATGTTATATTACTACCATCAGAGTCATTCAGGTTCTGTATTTTCCATTATGTTTTGCTACTACAGTTTTCTTCAGTTTTTTTTTCGTTTTCCGTTTAATTTAGTTTAGGTTTCCTGGGTATGTCTGCATGTTTAATATACCCATTAATTTAATTTGAGCTTTCTTTATTCTCTTACCGTCTACATGTTCTCCTTCATTACATCTATGAACATTCTTTATGGTCTTACTCTTTTCCTGTCTAATTTTGTTGACCCCGGGGTTTTAAACTCATCCACCATCACTTCCTCTACGTTTTTATAATCTGGCAGGTATTTGTCACGTGCAGATTACATTATTATGATGTAAGCAACATTTTGTTTGTGTGTGTGTGTGTGTGTGTGTGTGGGGGGGGGGGGGGGGGGGGAATCTCCAATATATATGTAGAACAAAGCCTCTTGCCTTGTATTAACAGAAATTAATGGACATTATTTAAATAGTTTTAGAATTATTTGTCTTCTTATTAGATTTTTATAGTCAACTTTCCATAATAACATTGTTTATCAAGGGAAAATAATCATTAAAGTAAACTAGTTGACTTCACATCTAACATCTTGAGCACGAACGCGCCGCCATTGAATTTCATTCAAACAAGAAGAAAGCGACGCGCGAGCTGCTGTTTCACCCAAAACCGACTTCAACTGCGATTAGAAAATGTCGCATAATTTTCCGCATAAGCCTAAATACGTTTTCGGGTTTAAAAAAAAGCTCAACTAAAGATAAATAAAAGGTTAAACTTACATGATTTCCAAAGGAGCTAGGCGCAGTTCGACCACTTGCGGCCTGAGAAAACGTCGCACGGTGATGACGATAAGCGGAAGTTACGTGACCACCTGAGCGCCACTTACAACTCATTTGTTTATTTTACATTTTTTGACGACAAAATGTGAGTTTGTAAGTGAGCGCGTGTGCGACCCAGCGCACTCGTGGAATAACCTTGTTGTTTCGTCGAGCTGCGTGAAATGAAATAACCGAACAGGAAACATCGATCGAGCTTCCTTCTTCTAGATCAAGTGAGTGCATCACTTTCTAAGGATACTGTGCTAGCTGAGGTGGTTACCCCGCGCAGCTAACACGGAGTTACTGTACAACACTACCTTCGCACTCAGCAATAAAATGCCATTGTTTAAAAAATAATCCTACATAGGGTAATCCTACCCTATGTTTTTCTTCTTGAGGAAATTTTAATTAAATTTAAAAAGCACACAGCTTTGTTCCTAGAAGAACTTACAAAAAGAAGAAATAAATAAAAAACTGTTTCTTATGCGCTGGATTTATAGTTGGTTGTATTTCATATTTATATGATAATGTAAGATATTGGCAGTGTTTTCAGTTTCCTCCGTTTAGCCAGTAAGTTGATCTTTTTGTTATGACAGCCACATTTCCAAAGAAGTTTCCTGATTTTGTAGTTTAGCTTGACATGATGATGTCTTTTATATTAGCAGGAAGAATTCATAATGACATTCAAAGTATCTGAGATGTGAGGTAATCATATCCTCCTCTATAATGGACATTTGTTTTCGATCTATGTCTTTTGACTTATTTGAGTTACCCTACTAAGTTCTAATGTATTAAACCGAGGACATCCTGGGCTTTCCATCGATATCTCACATGTTTGGGTGGCCACTTTTAGCTCCAAAGAGGATAATTACAATTTACTATATTATCATATGTGTATTACATTTGTGCTATGAAGAGTGTTATGACAAAGTATTTGCCCCCTTCCTGATTGTAAGAAATTAGAAAGGAGGCAAATACTTTTTCACAATATGTGGATTTTTAGTTTTTTAATTTCAAAGCTATTGCCAAGGCTGCTATTACCCTACACCTCTAACATTGTTACAGAGATCCCACTTTCCTATATTATTATACATATTATTATTAATAATAATAATATTATTAAAGATACTCTAAATTTCACTTTTTTATGACAGGTCAGAACAGGTGAATTCACCATGGGCCGGCTCGATGATGCTGCAAAGCACAAAGTGGTAGAGCTGCGAAAGGCTGGCCTGAGTTTCCGTAAAATCAAAGCTGTGCTGGAGCTGGAGAACATTAAGGTTTCCGCTCAGGCCATCTACTTGTTCCTGAGAGAGTTCCAGGGGAGGCCGCCAGGGAGGGTGAGACCTGTAGAGCCTGGAAGTAGCACATCACCAGCACAGGTGCAAGCTCAAACTGGAGCAGTACAGCAGAGCTGGAGTAACATTCAAATCCGAAACCTATTACGGGATTCATCTCAACGTCTTGGCTTCCCAGCTGCTGCTGACTTTGCTAAACAGACTCCCACCAGCTCAGAGGGCTCTTCCTCCGGGGAAACCAGTGGAGGCAACAGGAAAGAACAGCAACCTGAAGAACATAAGGATGAAAATGATATCCAGATTGTCAGTGTCACGTCACTTGCACAGCAGAGCCAACAAAGAGCTCCCCAGTCCACTCTACCAAGGTCAGAAACCTGTGCTATGACTTCCACACCAGCAGTGAGGCGGAGAGTCACACCTTCTCCAGCCACTAGTTCAATGCTGGCAGCTCGAAAGAGAATTTTGGATAAAGCATTGTCACACAGATTGAAGGTACCTAAGCATTAGTGTACTGATGTGTACTTAGTGTCATAATCCCAGTTGTACCTCTTATATTTACTCTTCAGGTGCATGGAATCTGTGTAATTTACCATAAACTAGCCTCCAAATATTATTCAGTCTTTCATACGTTGTTTTTCACCAGTTTTCAACAGTGGCATCATTGTTAAGGAGAGATCCATCAAGTGTCCAGGGCACTGACATGAGGAATGCTGTGCCACAGCCACCTGAAACCTACGATCTGACCACTGAAAAGGTGAGATACATTTAGCTTTAGCTAACACTTAGCTTTTGAATCCCTTTTACTAAACAAAGATGTGAGTTTATCACCATCAGAGAGTACCTGTTAAATCATAGGCTTTATTTCTCCTTACACAATTTTAGCTGTCACCTCATGGGAGTGATATGGTCGGGTCTTTACACTCTTTATCGCCACTTTTATTTCTCTTAAAACATTTCTGTGTTTTGTATTTGGTAAATGTTTTGCTTGACCCAAAAAAAAAAAATTGTTATTTTCTGATCTGAGTCTGGGAGCCTGGCCATACAAACATCATCTGTTGTTGAGCTTTTTGTTAGTACGACTGCAATGTGAACACCATTTTAAATGAAATGTTTTCAATGTTACACAGACTGTTACAGGGAATCAGCCTGGAAGTAGCAGCGCTCCTAGACGTTCTCTCACCCAGAGACCAGGGCTATCTGTTCGTTCCCTTCCTCCTCCCCCTCATCCTCCTCCTCGAGTTGGGATTCGTCTTTCTAACCGACCACAAGCACCTTTAACATCTGCGTCTCCCGGGGGCGCTGTTATCCGCATACAGGCCCCCGGGAGTCAGGGTGCTCCTCGTACTGAAGGGAACCCAAGTCCACAGCAGGCAGCCCAGGACGCTGGAGTCAGAAGCGGTTTCCAGGATCAGATTCAGAGTTTGGGCTCTGAAGTGCGCAGCTTGGGCCTGGCAGTGAAGATGCTTGTAGAGCAGCAGTGCCGTCTGGAGAGGGAGCAGTCGCAGCAGACCCAAATTCAGAAGCAGATCCTCAACACTCTACAGACCATTGCAACCAAAATGAGTCATGGTAGCAGTGTTCAAAAGCAGAAAAACAAGACTCCTTCACCCTCTGCTTTGGCAGCAGCTTCTGCCTCTACCTCGTTTAACCAAGACACCTTCAGTTTTAGTCAAGGCACTTACACTCAGTGTAGCCAAACCCAGCCTAGCTACAGCTCTTTAGAAGGTTTAGAAAATGTGGAGGCCTTTAAATTGCCGGGACTCAGTCCTACAACCGTGAATGGGTTTCCACCATGTAGCAATACTGAAAGCCTTCCTCTTACTCACACCCCTTCTCAAACACAACCTTATTCAGCTGCATATATTCAGCAGACCAGTCAACCACTCATGCCTCCCTACACGCAATCATATGTCTCCACATACAGCATACAGTCACATCCTCAGACTTTCAGAGCATTGGAGAGTAAAACATCGGAATTCCAAAGCAGCTGCTCAACAAGGACTTTCCAGGACTGCAGCGTTTCCACTCAACCAGTGCTGAACTCGGACCACTCTTCACAGGACCAGCAGATCAATATTATCAAAGTGGAAGGACCATAGATGGCTTTAGATTCCACACACTGTTTGAGGACCACAAGGGCTTTGATGTACTTTTTTTTAGAGTGACTGTAGCATTATGAACATGTTTTCAAATATAACAATAAACAATGTAGCAAGTTTTTTTTTTTTTTTCCCAAAGGGAGAGGGTACAATCAGCAATAGGATACTACAATCTTTTAGTAAATATTATAATTTGTATTTGCTACAGGCAACAAATAATTCAGACATTTTAAATGACATGTTTATCTTATATCACCATTACTGGCATTATCAACTGTTAATTTTCATACATCTGCGCAAACTGATTATAAAACACAAGGACCTTATTATGATCCAAAGCATGCTTCCATTTCACTATTTTAGAGATGACAAGCCATTCTCATATAAAACTGAGAATGCTTAAATAAAAAACAAAAAGGAAAACGTGATTCTTAAAAGGGGCGATTCAGGACAAAATCACGTGTGTGTATATTTTTTTTCTGTGGTATTTGTATTTATCCATCTAGATTGGTGACGAGTTTTGGGTGTTTGCCTTATTTTGAATATAAAGGAAGAGGACAACACTTTCATTGTTATGCTAAAAGACAAGTAATGGTAATGCTTCTTTCTGTAAAACTTTTTTTTTGTTATACAGAAAAAAAATCTGGTGCTTTTAGCCTTACATGCTGTATACTGTTGTGGGCATAAATGGGTAGTAATTGGGCTTTTAATTATTTCTTTTAAGTGTGTTTTTTTTTCCAGGGTGGAATGATTGTAATGCATACATCTTTAATGACTTTAAAAAAAAAAAACAAAAAAAAAACAAGAATTGGTTGCCGTTTGAATTTATCTTGGACTTTCTCTAATCCACACAGGACCAAATGTCTTTTAACGTGACAAGGCCAGCTCCTATTAACTTCTTGCTAGTGATCATGTTTCACTACAACTGGCAGTTTCTTTGTGTATCAGATAGATGGATAGATGCAGATTCCAAGATTAAATAGTTTAAATAAGTTTAAATAATTGTAAGTTATTCAGATGTGTAACCACTTTGCCAGAGTGAAAGAATACTCAAACTGTCCCCCTCCACATGAGAGGAAATTGGTTAGGATGTTCAGAAACTACAACGGCTCAAGTCTGCCATTAAGTGGAAACTGCTGGAACGCCAGCGTCACCATCCACAATGAAGTGAGGCCCTGGGTTCTAATCTGCCAGCTCGTCAAGACCGTAGGTGTGAATGTGAGTGTAAATCTGTCTCTCTGTGTCGGTCCTGCGACAGACTGGTGACCTGCACAGGGCATACCCTGCCTCTCGCCCTATGGCATCTAGAATAGGCTCCAGCCCCTGTAACCCTGAATTAGATGAGGAGAAAAAGATGGAGCAATTTAACCAGTTTAATCATTTAAAGTTACTTCTACCAAAGAAGAGTGGTCAAATAACCAGCCACATTTATGCCAGAATTCTGCTGATGGTGACCATCTGGTCGAAATAGAGCTTCCTGAGGAATATTTAACTAAATATTAGTTGGGTTATATGCATATATTTGACCCCGTGTGCATTAGAGAAAATAGACAATAATTTATAATAATGTATAAACGGAAAGTTTAAAGAAATCCTTAAAACCCGAAATTTACCATGACATTCATCCCCATGATGAGTACATTTCTGACCATAACTGTACATCTCTAGACCAACAGAGGGATACAAATAGCCACCATTACAACTCAGCTGAGGGGAGTGGCATTATAATCTCTTTGATCAGCTAGTACAGGGTCACTGAATCTAGGGCTGTGGCATTTACCTACTGGGCCAATGCAAATATGGGCCCCTCCACTATCTTCACCGTGCGCTCATGTACCTTGTTGAACAGAGTTCGGTGTGTAAAAATTGATTGATACACATGAGGAAACAAAAATCAAAAGGTCAACCTGAAAAGCTAAGAGAGAAAAATTTAATGAAAGTAGAAATAGATGCAGTAAAATGTGTCAAATTAACCAAATATTGTACATATGCTTCCATTTGACCCTGAATGACCTTTCTGAGCTGTACACATAAGATTAGGACTCTGAAGTTAGGACAGTTTTACGTTGCTTCCATCTAACTGCAAACATTATACAGGACAAATACATTGAATACTAGCCTGTGTTCTTACTCCTGCTTTTTTTGTACATTTATTGCATTTTGCTTGATGGTTGTGTGATTTCTGCTGTCTGAACAACAAATTGTCCTTTAGGGATAATAAAAATATCCTTGCTTCTTTATTGAATTCTTGATTTATTGCCAAAAATGTTTCATGAGGTTACAGTGGCTTTAGACCACCAAAATCTAATTAATTCATCCCTGATTCCATGGTGTTTGTAGCCAAATTTTAAAAACTTCACTCAGGGGATTTATGATAGGTGTGTTTAAAAACAGCAAACTTGGTTTTAACAATGACAACAATACCTTTGATAAGAACAAGCAGATCAAACTCCTACAGCTTGTTGTTAGCGTTTTTGTGTAACCAAAATGGTTAAAGAAAAATAGCACTTGTGTGTTCTACACTTTTAATCTTTAAAATCTGCTGATGGCACAGAGCTTATGAGGTAAAGGGGTGAGGGTGAACCCTACAACTGGTGTCAGATCCAGGTCATCTCCAGTCATTCCAGGTGGAGGAGTGAATCGAAAGCGCTGGAGGAGGGAAGCGAAGAAAAGGAAAACCTCCATCTTGGCCAGACTCTCTCCAGCACAAACCCTCGACCCTGCAAGAAATCAGGGAATCGCAAACTGTTAAGCCATCTTAATGTTCGTCTTAGATTTTATGTCTTAGTCTTATATTTCTTTGTGTTAAGAACCCACACACTTACCTAGAGAGAATGGGATAAAGGCCTCTCTCCTTCTAAAATTGCCTTTCTCATCCAGGAAATGGGCTGGATTAAAAGCAGAACTCTTTTCCCAGTTATTCTCATCACAGTGAGCTGATGAAAGCAGACCAATCACTGGGGTTCCCTAAAATATGGAGAAGATTGCTTTCTCATTGTCTTAAGAGCACTCATGAAATAAATTTTACTTAAGTTTCCGAAAATTAACTCATATTGTAAATGACCAAAACAGCAATAATGTGTATGCTGAGCTAATTTCTTCCTTTATATGTATTCATTAACTGTTCATTTCTATATTAGGCAACAAAAAAGTCCTGAGTTTAATTACTTGTTGTACATTTTACATAGTTTTGTTTTTTTTTTAAAACAAAAAAACATTTATAGCAAGTTGCATTTGTCAGGGGTTTTTCTTGTTATTTTACCCTCCCCCTGTGTTCCTTTTGTATCTTTTGTGCAGTAATGTTATACAATATATTCATTCCTTATTGTTTTCTTATTGTAACTGTTTATTTCAGTACATTTGTTGTTAAATAAAAAAAATAAAAAAATAACCTATAGGGTAAGCACCCATAGTTTTCAGTGATTTTTTAAGACTAAAATCTTATTTAAAATTTCAACTTGTGATAATTTATGGATATGAAAATAAAAAAACCCCAAATAAACAGACTAAGATCTACTATAGTTTGAGAACAACGACAGCTTAAACACTGTAAAATGTAATATTGTGTTTAATTAAAAATATTAAATAGGCTGAACTCAGTTTTTATAAATTTGTTATTAGAACTCGATTTAAATAAGTTACCAGTACTTTTTAGGCAAAACCGCTGATAAACTCAATTTATTTGAGTTGTCTTAACTTAGAAAAACTAAGTAAGATGGAAGTTTTGCTTCTCAGTGCGGAAGGATAAAAGATGTGTTTTGAAAATGCCCCGTCACTACCGTCGTCCTCCCTCTCGGATCAGTCCGCATGTTCATGGTGCCAGCATTTGTTATCAGAATCAGAATCGTGTTTATTGGCCAAGAATATGTGCAGACACATACAGGGAATTTGGGTCCGGTAGATGGTGGCTCTCAAGCACAGCAATGTAAATCTCTCTCACACACACACACACACACACACACACACACACACACACACACACACAAAGCTGTGTAAACCAACTATAAATAACGAATCTAACTTCTATACATAAAATACAGAAATGAATGACGTGGAATGAATACTACAAAATGTACATAAGGTGCAGTTGCAGTCTGGCAGTGGGAGCAGTGTGACAGGTCAACTGTTAAGAAGGGAGATGGCGAGGGGAAAGAAACTGTTCCTGTGTCGGGTGGTCCTGGTCTGCAGGCTTCTGTACCGTCTGCCAGAGGGCAGCAGATCAAAAAGTCTGTGTGCAGGGTGTGAGGGGTCTATGATGATTTTCACTGCCCGTTTCCTGGTTCTTGAGAGGTACAGATCCTGGATGGAGGGCAGGGGGGTGCCGATGATCCTTTCTGCTGCCCGTACAGTCCGCTGCAGTCTGCTCCTGTCCTGTTTAGTGGCTGCTCCATACCAGACTGTGATGGAGGAGCACAGGACAGACTCAATGACCGCAGTGTAGAACTGGATCAGCAGCTCCTGTGGAAGACTGTACTTCCCCAGTTGTCTTAGGAAGGACATCCTCTGCTGGGTCTTTTTGAGGATGGAGTTGATGTTGGTCTCCCACTTCAGGTCCTGGGAGATGGTTGTACCCAGGAACTTGAAGGTCTTCACAGTTGACACAGGGCTGTCTGATATGGTGAGGGGGAGCAGAGTTGAGGGATGTCTCCTGAAGTCCACTGTCATCTCTACAGTCTTAAGAGTGTTCCGCTCCAGATTGTGCTGACTGCACCAGAGTACCAGCCGCTCAACTTCTTGCCGGTATGCAGACTCATCACCATCTTGAATGAGGCCAATGACAGTGGTGTCATCTGCAAACTTTAGGAGTTTGACAGCCGAGTTCTTGGAGGTGCAGTCGTTAGTGTAGAGGGAGAACAGTAGTGGTGAGAGGACACATCCTTGAGGGGCACCAATACTGAGGGACCGGGTTTCAGAGGTGATCTCCCCCAGCCTCACATGTTGCTTTCTGTCTGTCAGGAAGCTGGTGATCCACTGACAGGTAGCTGGTGACACGCTGAGCTGGGAGAGTTTGGAGGAAAGAAGTTCAGGCACAATGGTGTTAAAAGCCGAACTAAAGTCCACAAACAGGACCCTGGCATAAGTTCCCGGGCGGCCAAGGTGTTGCAGGATGTAATGCAGCCCCATGTTCACTGCATCATCCACCAACCTGTTTGCCCGGTAAGCAAACTGCAGAGGGTCCAGCTGGTGGCCTGTAATGTTTTTCAGATGGGCTAACACCAGTCGTTCGAAGGATTTCATGACCACAGACGTCAAGGCGACAGGTCTGTAGTCATTCAGTCCTGTGATGGTGGGTTTCTTGGGAACAGGGATGATGGTGGAGCGTTTGAAGCAGGAGGGAACTTCACACAGCTCCAGGGATCTGTTGAAGATGCGAGTAAAGATGGGAGCCAGCTGTTCAGCACAGGTTTTGAGGCAGGAGGGTGAGACGCCGTCTGGTCCGGGGGCTTTCCTGGGCTTCTGTTTCTAGAATAGTCGGCTCACATCCTGAGTGTGTATTCTGAGTTTCAGGGAGGAGGAAAGGGGGGTGAGAGGTGTGGTGGAGGTCGTTGAGTCTGGATTGGAGAGGGTGGTGGTGGTCGTTGAGTCTGGATTGGGGAGGGTGGGGGTGGTCGTTGAGTTTTGATCGGGGAGGGGCAGGGTGAAGGGGGGAGAGATGGAAGGTGTGTTGGGGGTCAATGTCTGAAGCAATGTCCCTGGGAAGGGGAGGGTGGGGCGTGGGAGTCTGTCCGTCTCAAAAGTGTTTAACTCGTTGGCCAGGTCTTTGTTTGCTTCAATAGTGGGTGGGTGGCGTCTGTAGCTGGTGATTTCCTGCAGGCCCCTCCACACTGACGCAGGGTCGTTGGCTGAGAGCCGTTCTTCCAGCTTCTGGGAGTAGATACTTTTAGCTGCTTTGATCTCCTTGGTCAGTGTGTTCCTGGCTTGCTTGTACAGGACCCTGTCACCACTTCTGTAGGCGTCCTCCTTGGCCTTACGAAGATGTTGGAGTTTAGGAGTGAACCATGGTTTATTGTTGTTGCATGTGCAAAAGGTCTTTGTTGGCACACACACGTCTTCACAGAAACTGATGTATGATGTCACAGTGTCCGTGAGCTCATCTAGGTTCTCAGATGCAGCTTCAAAAACAGTCCAATCAGTGGAGTCAAAACAGTCCTGCAGTTCCTGCTTTGCTGCGTTAGTCCACTTCTTCACAGTTTTAACTACAGGCTTGGCACGTTTGAGTTTTTGCCTATAAACTGGAATAAGATGGACCATGCAGTGATCAGAATGTCCCAAAGCTGCCCGGGGCACAGAGCGATAGGCATCTTTTAGAGTGGTGTAGCAGTGATCCAGTATGATGTTGTCCCTGGTGGGGCAGTCTATATGCTGTCTGTATTTAGGGAGTTCGTAGTTTAGGTTTGCTCTGTTAAAATCCCCAAGAATAATTGTAAAGGAATCCGGGAATTTCCTCTCCAGGGTAGTAATCTGGTCAGCCAGCTCGCACAGTGCGTTGTTCGCGTTGGCCTGTGGAGGGACGTAAACTCCGACCAGCATGAAGGAAGAAAACTCCCGCGGTGAATAAAAAGGTTTACAGTTGATGAAAAAACTTTCCAAGTGTGGGCTGCAGTGTTTCTGTAACACTGTGACATCAGTACACCAACCTTCATTACCTGATACACTGACTTGGTGAGTAAACGTTTACTCTTATTCAAACTGATTTTGTGGCTTTTCTTAGTTTAGCACCAGGTTTATAATCTTGCTAGCTAGTTAGTGTTAGCCTAGCGTTGCTGCTGCGGCTGGGCTCATGTTACTTAAAAACCTTATATAAAAATATGTCTGAAATTTTCTGTTGATTGTTTGAAATAAAAAAGTGAGATAAGAGCCCAGACGAAATTATTCGGGAGGTGCAGCCGTTAGGGGTGGGGTGTGGGGTCGCTAGCCCCGGGACGTCGGGCTAGCGATTTTGCGAGCCCTGTATCTGATTGAGGAATCACTCATCTTTGGAAAAGAGTTTATTACAGAGAAATGGCTCTTTCCAAAATAAAAGCTATACTATACGCTTCTTCTGGGCTATATTCTCAGCAGCATATTGTAGCGGGTCAGGGCTGTTCGGGGTTCTGTTTTTTACAGTTATGTTTTGTTTATGTTGCCATAGTGACGGGTGACGCCCTCTCGCTGCGACGGTGTGTCCTTCCGGGGTCAGAGGGCGCCCTGTGTGTTGTTGTTGCTGTGCGGTTGCTGCGCTGAGCAGTTAGCTAGCGGCAGCGTTCTTCTGCAGATGTCAATAAACGACTGTGCTCCCTGGCTAGCTCACGGGAAGCAAGACCAAACGACACCTCCGTCTCCTCGTTGTCTGAGCTCGCCACATTGGTGTCAGAAGTGGGATGATGGTGGCACCCCATGTTCTGACCCGAGTGACTTCCCCCCCGCCGGTTGTGACCGGCCGGTGCGCCAAAAGAAGGCACCTGGACATTTGCAGGACTTTGTGTGGGGTAATGGGGTCGTTGGGGACGACTGACCCCTTAGGTGGGGGCTATGTAGCGGGTCAGGGCTGTTCGGGGTTCTGTTTTTTTACAGTTGTGTTTTGTTTATGTTGCCATAGTGACGGGTGACGCCCTCTCGCTGCGACGGTGTGTCCTTCCGGGGTCAGAGGGCGCCCTGTGTGTTGTTGTTGTTGCTGTTGCCGCGCTGAGCAGTTAGCTAGCGGCAGTGTTCTTCTGCAGATGTCAATAAACGGCTGTGCTCCCTGGCTAGCTCACGGGAAGCAAGACCAAACGACACCTCCCTCTCCACCTTGTCTGAGCTCGCCACAATATCAAACATATCAGGTCCCCATAAGGAGAATCATGTGCTAACGGTTGTCTAAATGACTCGGGTAAAGTTTGTAGCATGCATGCTTGTTGTTTTTGTCTGCTTCCACTTGTCTTTGCACTAGGGTGATGTCAGCATAAATGTGTAGTCATATTCGTTGTGTTCCCACTAGTGCTGTCAGCGTTAATCTCGTTGAAATGACGTTAACGCCACAACAAGGCAATCTCAAGGCAATCTCCTTTAACGAGCTACCCCTGATGGGGCTAGACGGTCAACACGTTAACGAGCTAACTGTGCTAACACACTAGTTCCCACCCATGTAATTGAGCATTACGTGGCACATCCAACATACTGTTTTACTTTAGTCCATGACACGCTTACCTTCAGGGTCATACGTCACATGAAAACCAAAATAATTCCAAACGCCAGATCTAAATGAGGGTGGGGGAGGTTCAATTTGCTATGTTGCAAGGAGAGATTAACTTCTGTCTCGCTGGCTTGCCCTGCGCTCTTCCTTCTGACTATGCTGTCTGTGTTGAGCGCTCAGTGGATCTGTGCTCGACAGTGCAGCCTAGGCGGAGTAGTCGAACGCAGATTCACTGAGCGCTTAACACAGACAGCATCGTCAGAAGGAAAGTTGATCAAATAAATTACAAATTTTGTATTGTTTGATACATATGCGTACCGAACCGAAAGCACTGTATCGAACGGTTCAATATCAATACGAGTATCGTTGCACCCCTAATATATAGATATAGATATATAGATATCTATACATCTATCTCTATATAGATATCTATCTCTATATCTATCTATAGATAGAGATATAGATATATATCAATATCATGTTTAACCTGAGTAGCAAAAGACCGCAATATGCCAGGAGTTAGCTTTGCTCGCGGACTCTATCAAGCCTTGACCTCCCGGTCAGCTTTTGCTCTGGTGGATAACAGAGCTCTCCGAAAACTTGGAAGCATTTTTGCAAATATGTGATATTTTGATAAATTAAGTAGATATTTGAGCATTACACAGCTACATTCTCGGCTGAATATATCTTAAAGGTTATTTTGTGACCCAGAAAGGGTAGTCTGGGGAAAAGGCAGATCGCATTTGTTGGCCACGGTTGCGAGGCAATGGCGGAGGAGCACGGCTAAAAAACGTATTTTTTCTGGGTCACAAAATAAACTTTTGAGATATTTTCAGGCGAGAATGTAGCTGTGTAAAGTTCAAATATCTGCTCAATTTATCAAGACATCACATATTTGCAAAAATGCTCAGACGTTTTCGGAGACGTCCATTTTTTTTCATGCTTTGTGGCAGCTTTTGAACATCTGTGGCATCTATTAATGTGAAATCTAGACTTTATTTAACAACATAAGCAAACTCTATGTTACAATGATTGCACAGCCATTAAGGATCAAATCAGTTTCTGAAAAATGTTCTGCTTTTTCTCCCTCTTGCTTCTTACTGTCTTTGAGGCTTGGGACCAGCACTCTTGTTGTTGGACAGAAAGACATCAACTCAGTGGTAAGCATTTTGGTTTTCCAATATATTAGCAACTGTCAGTGACATTTATATTAATCAGGCTGGACTTAAATCATACTTTAGATCAACCTGTTTTACTTATTGTTTTATTTGTGCTTTGGTTTGGGGAAGTTGATTCTGTACTGATCTTTTCATGTCTTCTGTTATTAGACTTGAGATATGACTGCACTATGCTGTTGCTGGTGACTCCAGTTAATTCTACAAGACATGCTGTGTAAGTAAACAAACAGTTTGGTCTGCATTTCTTGAAAGATCACATCCCCCAAACTTAGTTTAGAGGGTCTACACTGTTGTGATGGCAGCAGCCACACAGGGGTAAATTAGTCCATTTTTCACTTTATTATTTTGCTTTGCAGTATTCTTCATTAATATAATTCATTAATCATTTGGTTAAACCTAACACTGGTATTATGAGGCGCGCACATAGTAGCATTGTATGGTTTTTCTAAAATGTTTTGTTATATTAATTATGTTTCTCTTTCTTTGAGTTACCTGGGTTTGGGCGGTGGCTGTTTCCTGTCTGGGCAAAAGGTGTGGCTGAGGACTCTGGGGACAAAATGCCTGCTCAGCAGGACCAACCATGGGCTTACCAGGAGCAGGGGTGTTTTAGGTTTAGTTAGGTTATTCTGTGCTTAGTTAATATTAGTGTGTGTTTTTGTTTTCCCCCCTATTGTGTTCAAATGGTTTGGCCAAATCATTATAAAAGCTACCCTCATGTGTCTTTGTAATTAGGTCAGTTTGTGAGTTAAGTTGTGTCTCACTTTGTTTTGTTTAAGTTTCTGGAAATTACTTTTTGTAGAGTTATATTTAGTTGACCTGTTTTATGGGCCTGCTAAGTATGGTTTTGAATTTTGTTAATTTTGGACTTTTTGAGGGTTAAAATAAAGAAAACCCTTTTTGAAGATATTTTTTTGCCTGTGTCCTCTTTGCTTTGGCTGCTTGGTCCCTCACAACTGTATATAGTGAAGTCTGCAAGTTTTCTAACAGCAACATTTGTTTTGTGCTCAAATCATTTTGCACATCATTAGAATTAAAGTTATTGGCCATGTTTGCATAGCCCTTTTTAAAATGATGCTTTCATGACATTATTGTATGTTGGGTGGTGGTCACGGCTATCCAGACTGACAATTGGGACATTGAATGTCACCTCTCCGGTGGGGAGGGAGCCTGAGATTGTCCAAATCTGAGTCTGTTTTATACCAAATGCAGAAAAAAATGTTTTAAGAAAACAATTAAGTTCATGTTCCAAAAAATATGATTGTTTGCTTGCAGGACAACAGGAGAGATGAGTCCTCCGTCACAGATGGTGTGGTCAGTGAAGATGGTTGCCTGCAGGTTCAAGCTCATTGCATCTCCAACCCACATCCACTGTACTTAAGGGAAGTTAAAGACTTTCTTCTGCACCTTACATTTGGATCACCTCGATCCATGATAGTCATTCAGGCCTGGACTGGAAACAAGCCATCCTTAAAATAATACAACATTCCAGCTCATGTGTTGGAATGCAGAACAAATGTGTTGTTTAAATTAGAGACTGCATTTGTGACAGAACAACAAATATTTTATTTTGATTATATAAGTAATGTAAGTAAAAAAAACAAACTTGTGGTAGGCCTAAACTTATTTTCAGAATAATTAAATCTGAGACTTTGTTTCATTGTGAGATTATAACAGTGATGGCAATATAATTGTTTGTTGTTCAGCAGAACAGTGTCCAGTATGTTGGCTGTTATACTTTGTTATGTTTGAAAATAAAACTTCATTTTAACATCATCACAAAAAGTGTTGTTAATTATTTTTAATCATATTCATGGTACCACAAATTGTTTTTTCATTTAGTTGAACTTGAAATGTTTGTCCGTAGGTAAACAATTAGTATTGTACAGTCAGAAATATCAAGTTATTCTTAATACTGCAGACTTGCAATGTATAAGAGTTCCTAACAGTCATCTTAAGTAAGCTTTACTTAGTTTTTTGAGGCAACGAGTTTCCTTAGTTTTATTGAGTTCTGGGAACTAACAAGGCTGTACAGTGTACTCAAAATGAGTCATCTTAAGTAAACTTGATCCAATTTTTTGAGTTCTGGGAACAAATGAGCTTGTACAGAGTACTCAAAATAAATAAGTTGTCCTAATTTAGTCATTTTTAGCTAAGCTTTACTCAATTTTTTTGAGGCAACGGGTTTCCTTAATGCTTTTGAGTTCTGGGAACTAATTAGATTTTACAGTGAAGTCTGAACAAAAGTCATTATCCTACATAGTAGCCTGTACGTCTTGGTGAGGGTCCTATAGAGCCCAGTGTGTTAGTTTCATGTTACTCTTGATGCTGTTTGTTCTGCACTCACATGTCATTTTAAAAAAAAATAAAAATGTAGACGTGTACAGTGTCACTAATTGGTTCAGAACTGGGACTGTTTGACTTTTGTTTTACCTTCTTGATGAAGTAGGACTGAAAGGTGACATCTTGTGAAACGCAACGTACAATAAAAGGCGTAGTATTAATCACTCTTTGTATTTCATGGATGACAGCGTCAGTGAACGGCAGGCTCTTTCTGTCTCCCACTCGGACCTGGCGATTTTCTACTACCTGATCCAGTTCCTCCTGGACTTTGTCTACAAAAAGAACAAAAAAACAAACCAAGTAATGATTGAAACTGTAGTAGTGTTGTTACACAAATTATTCTATTTAAGAGCAATTTATTAATTTGCTGTTAGGTTTGAATTCATATTTATATCTGCAGTATTCTGCACACTGCTGGAGCTAAGTAAAAGGGACATCTAGCAAACCTATGTTAGTCAGAATAGCAATGACTAATGGTCGAACAAAAATTCAGATTTTGGACAAATTATATCCAAATGTGATCGTATAAGTTTTTGGAAGTCATGAGATTTAGTTCTTTCATAAATAAAATGAAGAACATACTTTAAAAGAGAAACAGTTGATTATGTTTTATATGCTTCAATTTCTTGATTGCTAATATATCCTCACAATATACAGTGAACTCCTTCCCGGTGAAGCCATGGCAAGCCTATTGTGGTTTGTTATTGGTTTTGTGTTTGGTATTGTTTTTTCCGACCTTCTTTATCTGCCACCATCTTATTCTTACCCAGTAGTAGGTAGTAATCTAATAAGTAAATAGACCAGGGAGTGGAAATGATGAGTATTGCCAGAGAGCCAGTTTGACAGTATTCTGGGTTACTAGACAATGGCTATTTGCCCATGGGTAGGACTGTGTTTTTGTTCTAAATCATTTCTCACATTTGCTTTTTATTTGACGTAAGTGGTTCTCACCATCTTTTCTTCCCCTGTTAGAAAAAGCTGCATAACCCGGTCTAAATTTTATGAAAATGTTGTTTTTTGATTTTTCTTTCTTTTCACTTAAAATACCTTTGTTTCATTTCCACATTGCCCAGATATCTGGTGAATGAAGCATCACCAGTAAATAAGTGTATTATATTTCTTACCTTGTATTTCAGGGTACTTGGCCATGAGCATTAAGCCATATCTTATAGTAATAGATGTAGATTCTGAGCCAGCAGTAAATAGGTTGACAACAGTAATCAGTAGGTTGTCTTCGTGATAGTGAGAACTTATATTTTTATCTATATTTCCAGATGCCTTACAAGTAGAAAAAAGGGAAGAAATGAGTCTCAGTAATAAGATTACTTTGGAAAGGTATTTAATCAAATTTAGGTCTTACCTCAAGCTGAATCTTCCGAGCGAGAAATGAATCCACCAAACTTCTGCACATCTGTGGATCAAGGGTGTCCTCTAAACCTTTGATCAATGCTGCGATCTGTCTTCTATTAGCAAAGGCATTCTCTATCAGCTCTTTGCGGGCTTTAACCCAACTGAACAGCATTGGAAAGTAGTTATACAACTGTTGAATAAACAAGAAAGTTAGATTCACCACACATTACCAGTTTAACAAATACATTGTATTTATATGTTTAATTATAGAAAACTGCATAACTGGACATGATATCCTGTTGCTATTAATCTTCGATTTAGATAAGAGAACCTCAAATCCTGTTCGTGGCAGGGCATGGATGACATGGTTATGATTTTGCAGATACTTTGTAATGACTAAATACTATTGGCCTTAATGTCTTCTTTTAACATTCTGAATTTACACTAAAACTGCATTTTGACTAAAGGTAAATAGTAATGCTGATCTACTGAACTTAGAGCACAGGAGACAAGAGCAAGACAAAATCTACATTTTTAATCAAAGGTTAATCAGGCTCATGAGGTCAGCAGTCGGAAAGGCAAACAGGCAGACAATAAGAAGGGTTCTAAAACCATTCCAACAGGTTATAAGCAATGGAAACTAGACTAGGTACTAGAAAGAAGACAAAAAACAAAACAAAAAGACAAATAATTACAAACATGTAAAGGAGTAAGTAGCAGTGAGCAGCAAAATAACCTGACAAGTGACAGGGGAGTGAGGATGTGAAGAACTGTTTCTGTCAGATTGTTATCATACCTGCACTGAAGCAGAGCCCAGGAGTTGAGTATTCCTAATAGCTCGACTCACCATCACTCTGAACTCTGGGTCATCATATTCAAATCTTTTACCATAAACAATCGAACAGATGATATTGGAAACAGCAGCATTCACAGCCTCAGCACTGTCAAAGGCTTTACCTGACAGAAAAAGGAAGGTGTTTTTATTTAAGGACCAACACAGTAAGAACTAGAAGCCTCAGGTAATAAACGTTCACAAAGGCAGGATGCAGGAACAAGTTTGTTTTGTGTGTTACAACACAGCCCTTCCTGATATGTTTGCTCAAGGTCTCCAACCAGGGATGAATGTATAACTACCATTTTATGAAAGCGCTAAGTTGGGACTATGAGTAAAATGAAAATAACAAAATAAATGCAGTCATGCATTTTGCAGTCATTCAGTCACACAATCTTAATTGCTGTGAATTACAAATCACATTTCATTAAACTGAAATTGTTTTCAATGTTGTTTATAAACATATTTGTCTTGAATTTCATATATATATATATATGTGTATGTTCTTCCTCTACCCTCACCCCCCCCCCCCCCCCCCCCATTTTTGCACATGTCGAGGAGCGTGTCAGGCTACATTACACTGTGTGTTATACTTGTATAACTATGCATGTGACAAATAAAGAACCTTGAACCTTGAATTTAAAGCCAACAACCTGTTCAAATAAGTTAAAGTGTACAAGTTTGAAGAGCAGAATGTGTACCAACATCCCTGGTTAATGACTAATTTGCCTGAGAAAATCTAGTTAAATAAATCGGGATCTGGTGCCTCTGTTACCCAGTGTCGGGTATTGCATAAAGGGAAGGGTCATAAGTCAAGACGCTTTTCTTTTGAAGCTCCTTAGACTATCGGGGAATGTTACAGAATGTGGTTGCACAATGCGAGTGCTGAGTTACATAGTACGTAAAAATCATTAAAAATGCTAGTTATTGCCCTGTGCCGACTCAATAAGTACAGAGTTCCAAACTTCATAACGGCATTAACACCAGCACAAAAGTGTGCGCTGGGAGTTTCATGGCATGAGTTTCAATGGCCAAGCTGTTCCTGTAGCTGCAATGTGTTGATTAAATGGTAATTGCTAGTGTCACAGAAATGGCTTATGTATAAAGATGTTTAATAGATGGTTCCAGCAGTTAAAATGTTCTTGCTTGTACATTTCTGTGGACAATATTGTAAAGGTGCGTTTTCTTGTACAAGAGACATGTTTATCTTGTCACAAAGAACAAGTTTTTGTTACACCGCTATTATCGCGAGGTTTTGCGTGATAATATAGGCTGTGAGCCCACATTTAATAATTGCACTAAGGAGTTCAGCGAGCTATCTGCAAAAGCCTGGTTAGTCTACCAGCTGTTCAAGATATTTTCATATAATTGTATTGTCCATCCATCCATCCATCTTCATCCGCTTTATCTGAGGCCGGGTTTCGGGGGCAGCAGCCTAAGCAAAGAGGCCCAGACCTCCCTCTCCCCAGCCACCTCCTCCAGCTTATCCGGGGGAACACCAAGGCGTTCCCAGGCCAGCCAAGAGATATAATCTCTCCAGCGTGTCCTGGGTCTGCCCTGGGGCCTCCTCCCGGTGGGACATGCCTGGAACACCTCACCCAGGAGGCGCCCAGGGGGCATCCTTGTCAGATGCCCGAACCACCTCAGCTGGCTCCTTTCGATGTGGAGCAGCAGCTGCTCTACTCTGAGCCCCTCCCGGATGGCCGAACTTCTCACCCTATCTCTAAGGAAGAGGCCAGCCACCCTTCGGAGGAAGCTCATTTCTGCCGCTTGTATCCGCGATCTCGTTCTTTCGGTCACTACCCAAAGCTCGTGGCCATAGGCGAGGGTAGGGACGTAGATCGACCGGTAAATTGAGAGCTTTGCTTTTACACTCAGCTCCCTCTTCACCACGACGGACCGGTGCAGCGTCTGCATTACTGCAGCTGCAGCCCCAATCCGTCTGTCGATCTCCGGCTCCCTTCTCCCATCACTCGCGAACAAGACCCCGAGATACTTGAACTCGTCCACTTGGGGCAGGAACTCATCCCCGACCCAGAGTGGGCACTCCACCCTTTTCTGGCTGAGAACCATGGCCTCAGATTTGGAGGTGCTGATCCTCATTCCCGCTGCTTCACACTCGGCTGCGAACCGTTCCAGTGTGAGCTGGAGGCCCTCACCCGATGAAGCCAACAGAACCACATCATCCGCAAAAATCAGAGATGAGATTCTGAGGCCACCAAAGCGAAAGCCCTCCGCCACTTGGCTGCGCCTAGAAATCCTGTCCATAAAAATTATGAACAGAACCGGAGACAAAGGGCAGCCCTGGCGGAGCCCATCACCCACCGGGAACGAGTCCGACTTATTGCCGGCAATGCGAACCAAGCTCTTACAACGGTTGTATAGGGATCGAATGGCCCGTAGCAATGGGCCAGACACCCCATATTCCCGCAACACCTCCCACAGGACACCCTGAGGGACACGGTCGAATGCCTTCTCCAAGTCCACAAAACATATGTAGACTGGTTGGGCAAACTCCCATGCACCCTCAAGTATCCTGGAGAGGATAAAGAGCTGGTCCAGTGTTCCGCGACCAGGATGAAAACCGCATTGTTCCTCCTGTATCCGAGGTTCGACTAGCAGACGAACTCTCCTTTCCAGCACCCTGGCATAGACTTTCCCAGGGAGGCTGAGGAGTGTGATCCCCCTGTAGTTGGAACACACCCTCCGGTCCCCCTTCTTAAAGATGGGGACCACCACCCCGGTCTGCCAGTCCACAGGTACTGCCCCTGATCTCCACGCAACATTGCAGAGGCGTGTCAACCAGGACAGCCCTACAACATCCAGAGCCTTCAGGAACTCGGGGCGGACCTCATCAACACCAGGGGCTCTGCCACCAAGGAGTTGTTTAACTGCCTCAGTGACCTCGCCCCCGGAAATTGGCGGGTCATTCCCCTCATCCCCAGACTCTGCTTCCTCCTCGGAAGACGTGTCAGTGGGATTAAGGAGGTCCTTGAAGTATTCCTTCCACCGCCTGACAATTTTCTCAGTCTTCGTCAGCAGCGCTCCGCCAGCATTATACACAGTGCAGGTAGAGCACCACTTTCCCCTCCTGAGACGCCTGACGGTTTGCCAGAATCTCTTCGAGGCAGTCCGAAAGTCTTTTTCCATGGCCTCTCCGAACTCCTCCCTGTCACGATCTGGTACAGGGATTCAAACGCAGAGCGGTAAGGTATCTCCGAGGTGTAGTTTATTTACAGTGCCAGTGCAATATATGTACAGTGAAGGGATCCAAAACTCCGGGGGAATCACAGGGTAACTCGCTCACGTCTTCTTCGCTCACACTCACACACGTTCCCGCAGCAGGGAGGTCGCAGGTCCCGGGGGGGGGGGGAGATCTGAGGCAGACGAGAAGGCAGGTCACCAACTAATCACAAATCACGAATATGAAGCACAAGAGCTGTGAGAACACTAACGTTAGGGGTACAATCATCCAGCGACGAGAGGATCTGTGTTCCAGCCTCAAATAGTGCTCCCGGTGATGATGGGTGAGTGTTGTCAGGTGTATGTGTGGGCCAAGGGCAGGAGCCCACAGTGAGCGCCGCCCAGGCAGAGAGGGAGAGAACAGAAACAGCAATTGTAGCCTTGTGGGGCCGACCGGGCAGGCACGGAGACCATGACACTCCCACACCCGAGTTTTTGCTTCAGCCACTGCCCGAGCCGCATTCCGCTTGGCCTGTCGATACCTGTCAGCTGCCTCAGGAGTCCCACAGGCTAACCAAGCCCGATAGGACTCCTTCTTCAGCCTGGTGGCCCCCTACCCCTCTGGTGTCCACCATTTGGTTCGGGGATTACCACCACGGCAGGCACCAACCACCTTGCGGCCACAGCTCAATGCAGCAGCTTCGGCAATGGAGACGCTGAACATGGTCCATTCGGACTCAATGTCCCCAGTCTCCCCTTTTTTCTCAGAAAAGTCAGAATTCTGAGATTAAAGTCAGAATTCTGAAATTAAAGTCAGAATTCTGACTTTTTTCTCAGATTTTTTTTCCAGTGGCCCTTAGAAGTGGCAGATGGCCACAAGGTAATTTTTTTTGTTGTTAAAACACAAGTGTTACTTTTGATAGACTGAAGCGCTTAAAGCCTTTGTGTTTTTTCACGGCATTCAATAAATGCAACGAAGCGCCCGTCTTGAAGAAGCCGTGCCTGTGTTGTCATTTCGGAGTTACAATTACAATTTTAAATGAATGAATACAAATTTAAGACTGATTTGTAAAAACAGAGCTATTAGCAAAAGTTAATGCGTCAAAAGGTGTGTTACCTTTTTTTTCTTCAAATACTTCAATCAGGCACTCAGACTCCTCTATGATTTTTTCTTCGATTGCCGTCTTTCCCATTCCAAACTCTTTTAAGTTTGTTAATGCAAAATGCCTCATCTCTCTCCATGAATCTCCACTGGCAAAAACAATTCCTAGAGAATTTTTCAAGTACCAGAAGAAAAGCAAATATTAAAAAGAAACCTCAATATACACACACAGAAAAACATTTTTTCCACCCACCATGAGTTAATTTTAAGTCACTAATAATTGGAAGTATTTCTTTGTCTGAAAAGGCATCAACATTCAGCAGAGCTTGCTTGATCGTCTTGTAACCTGCCAGCACCACTGTCTTTTTGGGCCCCAAATGGACAGTGAATACTGGGCCATACTTCTTGGACAGCTGAAGTGAGTAAAACACAAGGAGACAAAAGTTTTTAAGTTTCTCCACATCTGAGTGGAAATAAATTGTAGCATTTAATAATAAATCTGTTTGCCTTTGCCAACAAACACTGCGTCAAACAAAAAAACTTTATGTCGTGAATTTTTTTAAATTTTAGAAGTCTGTCAAAAACTTGTTTAAAACTTAGAATTCAATTGTTATTTATTAGGCAAATTCAATTCAAAGTTTTATACCAAAATTTGAGCGGGCACACTGGACTCCTCGGAGAAGTAAGAAATTGTTCAAAGAGAACTTTCAACCGCACAAACATTTTTTGTTCAGGAATTCAAGTAAATAATCGTAAATTAGCATCTGCTTTAAAAAATATATAATAAATTATAGTTTAGCATGGAATGTCAGTTTAATTACAGAAACATTCAAAAAAGATTTTGGTAATAGCCAATGCTGTTATTTTAGAGCAGTTGAAGTATAATCTTTACATTGTATGGTGGCTTAATAATTTTGTCAAGCACTGTATTTGATTTTTTGCATACCTCATAGAGCGCAATGTGAAGCGGCTGACGATTCAACTGTAGCAAATTGCCAAACAGCGGCAGTGGCGTGGGACCTGGAGGGTAGTTTCTCTCAGAAGCAAGTTTGGTGCATATTAGATAGAAAGCAAGTAAGATCACAACTGTGATGAGCAGAGATGTTACATTCGGAGTATGTAGTAAAAAATCTTCCATTGCAGCCATACTGACCTAGAAACAAGAGTAGTCTGCCTTACACTTGTGTTTCAACAGACCTTATGGTTATTGTCAAACCGATATTAAACATTAACAACACAGACATGCCTTGTTTGGATAACAGCCAGTCAGACCTTGGCCTACTGAGACTATTGCTATTTACACACAGGCCCAACCCCAGCCACTGGGGCCATGGGAATGCTGAGTGATCAGAGGGCAGTTTAGGTGAGCTCAGTCTGAACTTGTTTGGATCAGATTCAGAGCATGGGGTTTGAGGTTTGCAGCATGGATCCAGCAGTGACAAGTCTTGTAGAGCACAGGTGTCGAACTCTAGACCTCGAGGGCCAGTGTCCTGCAGGTTTTTAGATGTGTCCTTGATCCATCACAGCTGATTTGAATGGCAAAATTACCTCCTCAACAAGTTCTCCAGAGGCCTGGTAATGAACTAATCATTTGACTCAGGTGTTTTGACCCAGGGTGAGATCTAAAACCTGCAGGACACTGGCTCTCGAATTCGACACCCCTTTTGTAGAGCATCTGTGCCTGCAGAGGGTGCCATCACTGCAGGGCCTGCCAGCATACAGTGCCATGCATCCTATATTTGACTCATTGTCTTGAACAAAAGACTCCCGCTTCCTGCCACTGGTATGTCAGGTTGCTGGGCAGAATTTGATTAATTTTTCCAACATGTGTATTTTGATTATTGTGTGTTTTCATTTATTTCATTATCTAATTTCACTTTAAATGCATTGCCTTAGTTCAGTCATGAAATATTTGATTTGGTAAAATTATAATGAAGGCAGGATTGTGAAAAAGACTGAAAACTAGATATGACATTGATTCAGTTTGCATAGTAAAAATACAATACTTAATTTATTTAGCTGAAGACAGGGCCAACACACAATTACTGAGCTACTAGTTTAACATTTTTAACACATCCTTTAAGAGTATAGTAACCAGAGTGCAAAAGTGATGATTAATGCCAGAATCAAACATTGTTTTATTTAAATTAAAGCATTCTTTGAGAATCATGAGTTACATGGACCACAATCACAATATTGCCTACTGTAGCCACACAGTTTAGCCTGTGCTTAACGCCTTTAATGAACATGAACGTATTTATTTTCACAGTCATCTGAAACTATGAATTAATTGGATAACCTCAGGAACACTTCATGTACATGTGGCAGGATGAATGTTATTCCTTGGTTCAACCCACTTTCAGCCTGGCGCATTAGGGGGCGCTAGTATAAATAGTGGCCATCTGAGCATTCCTGGATCGCTTACCTGTGATCTCCTTTTTGGTCACCTGACTTCCCTTTGGTGTTGCAGAAATCATTCTGAAGCCTCCATCGCGGCTGGTCATAGCTGTAGAAGCTCATGTTTCATGACGCGCTTTACTCGGAAGTGTGGGCCTTAGTTTTACGCAACGCCACGCTAAGTGAAGTGCTGCTGCTTTGCTTTGCTTTGCTTTTACCGTCTGTTCCCGTTGCGAGGTTTCTGTTGCTGCTGCTGCCAGCTTTTTAAAGTGGACGTCGGCGTGGACAGCGGCCATATGCATGCCGGTTATGAGAGTCAGCTGGCGTACATGTTAATTGACCGGATGATTAACTTATAGTCGGGCAGACGGCAAGTTGGAGCAATACGGCGATTCCGTTTGCTCCTGATTTTAAAGTTTTATCTAGATTGTATGTTGTTTTTCTGTTGTTTTGATTTGTAGTTTTGATTTTTGTTACGTCACTGGTGGGAGGCCCTTTTTCTAGCTGCAGATCACCAGTGTGGTCCTGCAGTTGGGTTATCCCCCAGTGCTACATATTATTTTTGTTGTAATATATTAACATTTCTTTGTTTCTTTTATTCAGATGTGGAGTGCCGACGTGGAGGAGACTAGGGTGCCTTGGTGGTGGGATCCTTTGAGTGTACACACCTGCCTTGTTTAGTTTATTAGTGTGAGTGTGTGATTTTGTGTTGCACTTGTGTCTTGGTGTGTTTTCTTTTTTTGAGTTTGTGCGTGGCATCCCTGCCCCTCCACTGGTAAGCCTCAGCTCTGAATACCTTTTTAAGCATATTTGTACATGGATATTTATGATTGTGTTTTTATACAGTGTTTTAAATAATTATTAATAAATTGTCAACTTGTTTTATCATTGAACCTCGTCTCTGTACTGAGTATAACAAACCTAACTGCCTTCTTGGTGATTAGTGTTACTTCCAGTATTCTCTGGGTGAAATTCCCAGAGTGGCGTTGTCTTTTAAACTGTGAAGAGTATTTACTTTATTCTCACCTCGTGCTGCCACATACACATCTTATTAACATGTAGCAAAGATGAGGACATGAAGATGTGTGCAGGCGATTTGGTGGTTTTGGAGGATAACCACTGCATGCTATCAGCTTCTAGTTCACTAGGCTGTTTGTGTGCCCGTGGTGTCACAGAAACATATTCCTCATCACATGTCTGTTGATTCTAAACTGCTACTTTGTTGAGCACCAGGCTTATGTCTATTATGTCACTGTGCAGGAGAAAAGGCAAAATCAGTGGGCCTCCCTGCTACTGCAGGAGGTGGTCCGCTTGCCTCCACCCCAGAGAGAAGGGTTACATCTCCTGGGTCTAGGTGCGGCTTGCCCCTCTGAGGGCGGGGGTACCTGGACCTGGGATATAGAGTATGTTTGGGGAGTGCGACTGTCTGTGCAGTGTCTATTTGTGTCTGTCTACACGTTGGGTGAGTGCCGAGTATTTGGTTGTGCATATGGGGTGGGAATGCACGTCTGTGTCCGTGTGTGCCTGTTCGTCTGTGTCTATATGTCAGGTTGGGTCTTAGACTCAACCTCTCTGGGTTCATCTCAGGCCCTCTAAAGTACGGAGGCCTATCTCCCCTCACCACACTCCCTGCCGGTGGCTGATGCCCTCAGACGTTGGTGTGTTGGTGGTCCTTGTCGTCTGGGGCTGGGCGCTCATGTATGTACCGGCTCACTCCTGGTGGCCGATTGGCGGGGCCGGGCGCCTGTGGCCCGGCTGGGCTCCTTCCGGGGGGTGGGATGCCCTCAGGCCTCTGGCCTCTGGGCCTGAAGCTCGGTCCTCTCTGGCACAGCTGGCTGCCGGCAGAGCCCGCGGGCACACCACTGCAACCCCTTCTGGCCTCTGCTCCGTAGCTGCGGGGTGACCTCTCCTTTGGGGTTCTACTCAGCTCTTCCCAGGAGGGTGGCACGGTTCCCCCCCCCCCCCCCCTTTGGTGGTCCTCCTCGGGTCCTTGTACTCTGGGGCCTCTGGATATCTGGGGCCTGGATCTCCTCCATACCTGCTTCATACCCTGGTGGACGGGGCTATGGCTCCCCACACTCCCTAGCAGATCGTTACATGGAGAAACCTTTGGAATACAAGCATGCTGATCCACACAGGTGTGCACACAGGTGTACACACGGGTGTTCAGACGCGGACTACAGCTTTCTTGGCTGCTGCCTCAAAGCACATTGTGCGCTGTCTATCTTGCGTGCTGCACAATATCGTTTATTATTTAGTATCTACTGATATCTACTGCTAGCTAGTTTATTGTGATGGTGCTGTTTTTTTTATTATGTTGCTCTTTGTTGTTTGCGTTCTCTTCTGTTTTTTTTCTCCATACAGGTGACCCAGGTGTTTTGTTTGTTTTTCTTTTTTCTTTTTTTCTTTCTTTTTCTTTCTTCCCCCCCTTCTCACCATCTCTTCTCCCCTTTGGTTTTCTTTCTCTTCCTCTCTTTCTTTCATTCTTTCTCCCTGTCCTATCCCCCAGTCATCTCTGTCCCGTTTGCAGCAACTGAAAATAAAATAAATTCATAATTATAATACATCCATCCATCCATCTTCATCCGCTTATCCGAGGTCGGGTCGCGGGGGTAGCAGCCTAAGCAAAGAGGTCCAGACCTCCCTCTCCCCAGCCACCTCCTCCAGCTTGTCCGGGGGAATACCAAGGCGTTCCCAGGCCAGCCGAGAGATATAATCTCTCCAGCGTGTCCTGGGTCTGCCCCGGGGCCTCCTCCCGGTGGGACATGCCTGGAACACCTCGCCCAGGAGGCGCCCAGGGGGCATCCTTGCCAGATGCCCGAACCACCTCAGCTGGCTCCTTTCGATGTGGAGCAGCAGCTGCTCTACTCTAAGCCCCCCCCGGATGGCCGAACTTCTCACCCTATCTCTAAGGGAGAGGCCAGCCACCCTTCGGAGGAAGCTCATTTCCGCCGCTTGTATCCGCGATCTCGTTCTTTCGGTCACTACCCACAGCTCGTGGCCATAGGTGAGGGTAGGGACGTAGATCGACCGGTAAATTGAGAGCTTCGCTTTTACACTCAGCTCCCTCTTCACCACGACCGACCGGTGCAGCGTCCGCATTACTGCAGCCGCAGCCCCAATCCGTCTGTCGATCTCCAGCTCCCTTCTCCCATCACTCGCGAACAAGACCCCGAGATACTTGAACTCCTCCACTTGGGGCAGGAACTCATCCCCGACCCGGAGTGGGCACTCCACCCTTTTCCGGCTGAGAACCATGGCCTCAGATTTGGAGGTGCTGATCCTCATTCCCGCTGCGTTACACTCGGCTGCGAACCGCTCCAGTGCGAGCTGGAGGCCCTCACCCGATGAAGCCAACAGAACCACATCATCCGCAAAAATCAGAGATGAGATTCTGAGGCCACCAAAGCGAAAGCCCTCCGCCACTTGGCTGCGCCTAGATTATAATTATAATACAGATCAATCAAATGGACCAATATGGCAAGGCCATGATGATCCACTTGGTAAAATAAATCCGCTTGGCATCTTTCTTGGCCTCAAGACAACAATTCTGATGGCTAAAGATCCAAACGGGACACAAAAGAAAAAAGGGGAAAAAATAGTCAACAGGAAAAACCAAGGCACAAAATAACTGCCCATGAACTGAGAAAAGTCAAGCGTGCAGCTGCCAAGATGCCACTTGCCACCAGTTTGGCCATATTTCAGAGCTGCAACATCACTGGAGTGTCCAAAAGCACAACGTGTGCAATACTCAGAGACATGGCCAAGGTAAGAAAGGCTGAAAGACGACC